TTGTTACAAGGACCTCGAAATAAGGTACTCCTAATTTTCGGAAACTCCCATGAGAGTCGACAGGATGGCTTCAACCCCACCGACCTGCCCAAGGCTATTTGCGACGCTGGGCGGCAGCAAGTTCTCCGAGACCGCCCGAGTAATTGGCATGGGGGCCTCAATAGTCCGCAGTGAAACGCTCGAAATATTTACGAACATTTGAGACTTACTAATTTCAAGAATGGGCTGTGCGGTATTCTCTTTCTATGTGTATGTGTATGATTGTGTATGTGTATGCAACATGTTCAATCATGTTCACTGGTACTTTGATGATATTTGTTCAAAGCATCTGCACGTTGGTCCTTGGATAGCGCACTACCAAGCACTATCTAGTGTATTTCTGTGAGGCAGAGTCCGATGTATGAGTCAGCATGAACTGCAACGCACAGACGCAAGCACTGTGCCTTTATGGGTGGATGGATGGGTGGATGGATGGACAGATGGACGGGTATGTAATGTAAGTTAATCTTGTTAGGTAACATTACTGTACGTAAGTATGTGCATCTCCGTACATGTACGTACGTGGGTGAACATGTATGTACATGTATGTACATGTACATCTGTAAGTGTATGCTTCTGTTCATGTTTCCCTTTCTGCATGTGTATGTGTACCGGCACGTGTATGTTCATGTTTATGTGCATGTATACATGTGCATGCAGGTGTACGTGTATATGACTGCTGCGTGTACGCATCGTATACGGCCACAGCATGTGATGCTACAAAGCACAAGAGCAACATGTCCTTGGGGTGTCCGTGGCACGGTGAAGTCTTCGGGCCGGTGGCATTCCCTAAACCCCAAACCCTATATAACCCTATACTAAGCCCTAATTTGACCCTATATAACCCTATACTAATTTGGGAGCCCCAGGTGACATTCTATTTCTTCTGGGGCAAGTATCTGGCCAGAGGCTCAGCTCATGGTCTGCACCCCGACCGAGTGCAGAGACGCCATGCCGGCCAGAGGGAAAAAGGGCTCGGAGCATGTACGGCGACCGCCATGGTTACGATCATGGGAAGGATCCAATACAATACGTTTATACACGCACAAATATGTGTGTATATGACATCTCTCTCTCTCTCTATATATATATATATGTCTGACATGCAGACATACATACCCACACGTGTATATATATATATATATATACACATGTATATATATATATATATATATGTGTGTATGTGCATACATATCTTGGTTTTAGCATATGATTGCGATTGTGTCCTTCGCAGCCCCAGGTCTTCGACCACAACTTGCAAGGAGCGGACGAGAAGCTGACCTGGGCTTTCAATAACTGCCCGGAGAAGCCGGGGCCCCGATCCATCAAAGGCGCCTAAACCCTAAACCGTCTCTTTTCCTACACCCTAATTAAATCGTGTACCCTATACCCTAAACCCAAAGGTCCAAAAAAAGAACTCTAGGCCCGAAACCCTGGACCCAGACCCTGGACCCTAAACTCTAAACGGCTGGAGACATAGTGCAGTCGCAAAAAGGCCATTCGAAAAAAAAAAAACTCTAAACCCAAAGAGGGCCCCCAGTCCGAGACTCTCCACTCAGGGCCTTGGCCAACCGCCGACGAATTCTGCGCTGCGCGCCTGTGTTGGATGAACCTGCATGCTGTAGTTCAAGCTTTAGGGTTGGCATATATCATTATCATTGTTAGTGTTTTTACGATTGTTCGTAGTATTGCTTTTAGTATTATGACGAATTCTTACGTGTTTATATGTTATACGGTAGTTTGTGTTATATAGTATGTGGTATGTACGTGGCTACTTGGAGGTTCCGGGCACTTTGGACCTAGCTTTAACTGTTCTCCTTGTAACCTCCAAGTATTGGGGCGTTGTTTTCTTTACTGCTTTTAAGTTGCTATTATGATCAGTGACTATTGCCATTAGCAGTACTACTAGTAGCCGTAGTAGTAGTACTACTACTATGCTAGTATCATTACTATCATTACTGTCAGTATTACCATTGTTGATGTTATGTGCGTGGCAGGTTGTACCTTGTGCCGTGCAAGCTGAGACTCGGGGTCCTGCCCACACAGGCACGCCAGGTTCGGGTTTAGGGTTTAGGGTTTAGAGTTTTGAGGTTTAGGGTTTAGAGTTTAGGGTTTAGGGTTTAAAGGATCCCTGCGAGTCGCAATACAACCGATATGGCTTTGACATGTAGAACCGGCAGAAGCAGGAACTGCTGCACAAGTACGACTTGGACGTGTTCTTCGATGTTGTTCGTGCCATCAAGGAGGCTCCGGCGCCGTGTGGGATGTAAAATCTTGTGGCTTAAGGGTTGAGGGGCTTAGCATAGGGTTTCAAGGTTTAAGGGGGTTGAGGGGATTTCTTGTCCGTGGCAGTGAGCACCGCAGTCTCGGCTGCGCTTGATGCAGGGCAACGTGCAGCTCTTCACTCAGCGGATGCAAGAGCTTAGTGCGGCGTGAGCCCCGAAACCTTCGAGGGTTGCATGGGCAGGGGGAGCCTGGTTTGCATATGTGCGCAAGTCATCTCGAAAAGGATCTCATCAAGATGGGCACATACTTGCTCATGATGCGGCTGAAGTTTATGGCGCGCTCCTCAATCCCCTTCTCATTGTCGCGCTGGCCACGCATCGCGCTAACTCTCACACTGATGCTGTAGTTATCGAGATACTGGACTACCCAACCTAGAGACACGACGTTCACGGCTTCTTCAACCTGCATCTCACAACTAGTTGATGCTGCCACACGCGAATTTGATCCCCCGAATCGTCCAAGCACAGGTCCTCCGCAACCTCACCAAAGGAATCTTCTTGGAAGTTCGCGGGAGGCGAGGTCGGCTTCGCTGTACTTGCTTTTGCCGGTTGAAATTTCCTGGTCATGTCTTCCTTTCTCGAGGGGTTCCCCTGTAAGCCTGAGCCCAGGTTGACGGACAAGAGTGACAAGCTGGACTTCAAACCGCCACCCTCCCGGCTTCTGATGGTCAAGAGTGATTCGTTCTGGTGTGCGGCGCCCGCGAGATGTTGGAGCAACATCCTGTTGCTTGCCGGATCCACATTTACCTGCAGTAACCCTGTGGCAGCCTTGTAGCAATCTTGTAGTAACCGCACATAACCCGCTGTCCTAGAGTGGCCCAGAGACATCAGGTCTGTACTAGAGTGAGCCTTTTCCATAGTTCATATGGATTGACCTGCGGCTGGCGGTGCTCAGGTTTGAGCATGTCTTCGGTTGGCAAGACGGGTGTGATGCGGACGAAACCGCCCGCACCTCTGACTCTGCAACGTGGATCTGGCTCCTCTCGGTTCGAATCTCCATGGACAGGGGCCCGTCTCTGTCGTCTCTGTGTCAGGCCGCCTCCCTTGCAACGCTGATCTACAGCGGGGCGGTCAAGGGGCCCGAGGCTCGGCTGTGAGCCTTTCAGAGGCCTGGCGAGCTTTGCAACGCTTTGCTCACCTAGCGGCACGACAGTTCTTGCAATCGGATGTGCTTTTAGGCTCCAAGGGTCGGCAAGCTCGGCGAAGCCAGCATGACAAAAAACCTTGCCGCGCTTGTGAACTTCGGTGTGTCGGACAGATCGTCGACCGAGGTACTTGAGCCACGACCGCCGGAAGGTCGTGTTTGCAAAGGACCGTCGGAGGGTGCTACCTGCTACCGTCGCGTAGACCGTCAACAGCTGGCAGGATGCCCCGTTCCCGCCACCCTCGAAGTGGCGAGTGTGAGCAGCTGCCCATGCGGCACCGAAAAAGGCGAACTTCTGGACATGTTTGCACGGCACGCTAAGTGGTTTGGGAGTGGGCTTCTTGTGTTTTGGGCCGCTGCCTGGCATGGCATCTGTCAGTCCGAGTCCGATTCGATGACTCGCAAAGCACAGCCAGCTAATCCAAGACCCCAAAACCTGGCGCCTAAACCCAAAGCTCAGACCCGAACGCTAAACTTTTGAACCCCAACATCCTATCGGCAAACCTTATTACAATGCTGATATCTGGCATTCCCGTTGAACTGATGTCGCATGATATGTGTGACCACTTGAGTCATGTTCGGCTCTTGCACAAGACCGTAGGCAATCGCCAAATTGTTGCATTCTGTAAGACTGTCACAACGCATGTATAGGCAACTGGCGAAAGCTGAAGTCAGACGTGCTTGATCTAGCAAAAAGACGGTAGAGCGCTCTCGCTTCATGGTTGGCGCCTCAACGGCATAAGCCCTTTCATTGTTGCAGTGGCGTGAAGAACGAAATTCGAGATCAACAAGATTTATAGGTTATGGTCGCCCAAAGTACAGAGCGGTTAAGCTCCGCAACACAGCCGACTAGCTCGGGAGAAGCGGCAAGCTCGTCAGGACTTCCGAATGGTGTGACTGCAAGTGAAAGGCCTCAGAGGTCCAGGGAGTCAGCCGAGTTCTTGAGGATGGAAAATCCCAACCTACATGACCCGGCCCCTCCTCATGAGCCTTCAGCAGATGTACCTTCAGCGACTCCAGCCCCACGGGAACCTCCTTTGCAAATGGAGCCTCGATATGATGTACCGCATCGGAGCGCGAACGTTATAACAAACAGTGCTGGAAGGACTGAAGTTGCCATGCCTACGAGAGGACAGAGCGAAACGCCTACTACCCCGATGAGCTCAGCGGTGAGAGTCCAGGAGTACTATACGGCACAATCGAGAGCTACTACAGGCGAGCAACATGGTGTAAGGTGGATGGCTCGGTTCACGGAGTTTCTTCGGACTGCAGCGGATCGCGGAGCAAGTGGCGTAGACCGAGTTCTGGATGGGCTGGGAATCCCACAGTATAACTCAGACCCCACGCATGTGAGAAGAGTCGGTCCTATGTCGCAAACTACGGCTACGCAAGCTGCTATGGTAGTATATTCGCCTCCCGAAGAGCTTCCTCCACCTCCTCCACCAAGTAGACCGATACAGCCGTTACCGAGGTCATGGGAAGTTCCGCAACCGGCAGAACCTCCTCTTTTTGGCCCAGCTCAACTGGAACGAATGCGACAAGCTCAGAGTGACTACCCCCACATCTATGGACAGGCCTCAGAAGGTGGTAGTGAACATTCGTCGCGTTTGCAAGCTGAAGTACAACGTCAACTGGAAGAGTACAATGCTAAGCACAAAGAGGAGATGAGAAAAATGGCTTTGGAAGTCGAGTACTTGAGAAATGAGCGTTTGCAATGGGAAATGAGGGCGCGAAGCTTGCTTGAATCGCAAGCCCAGCTTCAAGGTGATCCGCGTCAACAGCTTCCAGGTGATCCTTCTCAACAGCTTCCAAGTGATCCTTCTCAACAGCTTCCAGGTGATCCACGGCAACAGCTTCCAGGTGATCCACGGCAACAGCTTCCAGGTGATCCTTCTCAACAGCTTCCAGGTGATCCACGGCAACAGCTTCCAGGTGATCCACGGCAACAGCTTCCAGGTGATCCTTCTCAACAGCTTCCAGGTGATCCTTCTACACAGCTTCCAGGTGATCCTTCTCAACAGCTTCCAGGTGATCCTCCTACACAGCTTCATGGTGATCTTCATGCTCAGTCCCGCGGTGACTCTGGGTCAGGACTTCCAAGCTATGCGCAGTTTCCAAAGGCGGCAAGTGGGTTCGTAAAGAGTGGTTTTGAGGCACAGTCTACCGAGTACACGAATGTTCAATACGAGCGATCTGGCTGCGGTGGAGTAGGTGTTTCTCAGAATAGCTCGGGTGCCAATGATGGACGTGAACCAGACCCTACCAAGCAGCCAACGGCACAGCAGTGGCTTGGTGGAGACCAGAAACCGGATCCAATGGCGTTGCTGGCTGGAGGGATGGCGCAGCTGCAGGCGGTTATGCTTCAGCAGTTGTCCAATGAAAAAGACCGTTCAGGTGAAAAGAGTCCGGAGACAGTGAAGCCTGGAGTGTCAACACTTCCACTACTTCCCCAAGTTTCGTCCTCTACGGCTTCTGTGGACATTATGGACTGGCTGGAGTTGATTGCAGCTCCAATGTCTGACTTGAGTGACGGCTCGGGTGAATGGTGGACCCTGGTGAAGAAGGAAGCGTCTAAGGCGTACCAGCTTTGGACAAATGCGAGTCCCATTGAGAAGCTGAGGATTATGCCACCACAAGTCGCGGAGCTAGAGACGGGGCGTTGGAGCAGGGTTAACTCGAGGGCATCCTCGATGATTCTACTTGCCCTTCACGATTCAGTTCGTCAAGAGATGGTTTCAAGACGTTCCACCGGCTCGGCTACTGCGCTGCTATTCCGTCTCCTTACGATCTACCAACCGGGAGGGCAGCAGGAGAAAGTCACTATACTCCAGAATCTTCAACAACCGGGAGAGGAAAAAGATCCTCACCAGGCAGTGGCGGCGCTGAGGGCTTGGGCGAGGTGGCTTCGACGATGCCGAGACCTTGGGGTCTCGGCTCCAGATCCGAGTCTCCTGGCAAGAGGACTGACGAGTATGACCCGGTCAGTGCTTGAGCGAGACCAAGAAGTAAGCTTTCGTACAAGCCTGGTTCGAAGCAACTTGCTGGTGGATACGAAGCCGTCCTACGACTCAGTGGATCAGTACTACCACCACCTTTTGGCCGAATGTGAAGCCATGGCTGTGAGCTCCCAGACTTCAGGTACTACGAGCACAAGCACTCCAAACAAGCCGGATCCGAAGATCAAGCCAATGAAGCCGGAGCCAAAAGGAGGGACACCGCAGCCACCACCTGCACCTCCTTCGACGTCAAGGACTACTACAAGCGGTCAGGGTGGTGAAGAAGAAGTGGACAAAAGGGGCCAGGTTCCTTGTCGCTACTTCGGGAAGTCCTTCAAGGGTTGCGCCCGTGGAACTAAGTGCCCATTCAAACACTCTTGGGAAGGCAATGAGAAAGAGAAGGCTGTGCGTTGCCACCTTTGTGGAGGCAAGCATATGGCTAAGGAGTGCCCGACAAAGAAGCCGAGCACGCCCTCCTCTACCTCTTCTGCGACACCGGCGGGTACACCCAAGGCAGCTCCGAGCAAGGCACCGCCTCCAACAACAACCCCACCGTCGACTCCAACGAAGACCGTCCGAATTGATGAACGGGCCCAGGTTCAAGAAGCTCCTTCGTCCTCTACATCGACCACTCACGAGACGGTCCCGGACCTAAAGGAAGTCTTGGCAGATGTTGGAAAAATGCTGAAGGTGATGACAGCGTCTTCTTTGCGAAAGTTCACCGTAAAGGATATGGAAAGTACCCATGGTGCTAGCATAAGGAGCCTCACAGCTGCTGAGGAAGGCAATGGTCCTGAACCCGCGGGCTCAACAATGGCTACCGGTTCGGGAACTACACGGAGTTCTCAGTCTGAGGAGTCTGAGGTGGAGGAACAAAGTGAAGGTGAAGATGAAGGACCCCGAGGACTTTTGGACAGTGGCGCAAGCCATGCCCTTAAGCAGGCAACCCAGGAGGAGTACGATAAGGGTGTCCCAGTGAAAGTTACGCTTGCGGGCGAAGATACCAGAGTCCTACGTCAGAATGTTTGCGGCACTGTTCTGGTCACCAACGACGGCAACGAACGCATCCAACCAATTGTGCCAATGGGAGCGCTGATTGAGGACCTTGGTTGCAGCCTGCAATGGAATCGAGGAAGGCTAAAGCTCAGGCATCCGACGAAGGGCTTCATCAAAATCTACCTCAACAACAACTGTCCTGAAGTGAACTTCAAGGAAGCCCACAAACTCATAACAGAGTTGGAGAAGAAACACTTGGCCCAGCTCAGCTCGCAGGTGAACTCTTTGACTGCGAGACTTGAGGTGCTTCGAAAAGAAGAGAAGAGGACGTGGGATGAGTTGATGAAGGATTATGTGAAGACTGGATGCCAGGCCACTATTTTGCGAGCCCTTCTTCTATGTCCTGTGACAAAGGATCTCCCAAGTGAGGTGCATGCAATGCTTGCCGAAGGCTTTGATCCGGACGGCGGTGAACGATACCTAAAGGACCTCCCATTGTCAAAGAGGAGGAGGCGTGCGTTGATGAGGTCGAGTTCGTGGGTTATTCACCTTCATGCTGGAGACGGTGATGGAGAAAAAGGGCCTTTCAATGTGATCTCCAGAGGTGGAAAGATGGTTCTTGAGATTGACGCAAAGGCTTCAAAGCAATGGGACTTGCACCGCAAAGAAGGAGCTTATCGAATGTTGCTATGGGCAGCGGCACAAGGGAAGATCACAGATGTAACTGGTACGCCCCCACACACTACGTGGCCCACATCAATGGCGCCGACCCGAGGACCTGGATCCTATCCGATGAGGACTACAACGTCACCCTATGGACAACAACCCCTCCAACCTCTACAGCAACATCGAGTTGATCAAGAAACCGCTAGCATTGCCAAACAGCTGGTTGTGTGGATGATTGCTTCAGCGAAAGGACGCGGGGAAGTTGGGTTCTTCATGGACATGTCCCAGGATCCTGAGAAGTTGAGGGCGGACCAACCGGTGCAAGCATCCTTTTGGTCAACTGAGATGTGGAAATCCTTCAAGTCTGTCAGCGGAATGAAAAGGATCGACTTCTACATGGGAGCCTACGGACACAAGGCAAAGAGGCCAACTACCGCAGCTACGAACTACCCGGGGATGCTCCATATGAACAACAACTGGGATTTTTCAAGTATATGTGTGCCGTCATCACTCTTGAAGTACGATGAAATGATCAAATGGTCAAGGGAGTTCAAGGAAATCCTCGCGCAGAACATCCTGGGCTGCTATGATGAGGCTGCCATGTTTGAGGAGGAGATCAAGGATGAGGAAGCCAGCCTTAAAAAACTAACCCGAGAACAACGACGGGAATGGAGGGACCACATCCACAACGATCACCAACCTTATCGACCTGATTGCTCGGTATGTGTTAATGCACAGGCCACTGGTTACCAGCACAAGCGGAGGAAGTTTCCAGGGATGTACGCGGTGGCAATGGACCTGGCTGGACCTTTCAAAAAGAAAGGACGTGACATGGACTTCGATGACTACAAGTACATTATGGTTGCTGCTTATCGCTGCCCTCGTCAGTACTTGAGTTCCATGGCTTTGACAGAGCTTGAGCGTGAGCTATATGTTCCTTCTGAAGACGAGGAAGTCCCTGAAGGTGAAGATCCTTTGGTGTTGGGGGAAGATGATGAGAAGGACCCGGAGGCCGAGGAGTCGTCAACCGAGGAGGCCGAAAAATTGGAAAGCGAGGTCGAAGAGCTCACTAAGAAAGTGGATTACGCCACGATCTATGTGACGCGCTGTTTGAGGAGGAGAACTGGACCTGCGGTACTACAAGCGGCTAAAGAAATCCTCCTACAGCTACGACAAACTGGTTTGCATGTTGCTCATGTACACACAGACAGAGCCAGGGAGTTCAGGACAAAAATGTTCAAAACCTGGGTCAACGACGAGAAGCTCAGGCATACGAAAACAGCTGGAGGCGACCCGGCAGGGAACAGCACGGCGGAGCTGGGTGTGAAGTGGGCGAAGGCTCGTGTGCGAAGTCTACTTCGAAGCGCAGGTGCACCACCAGAAGATTGGCCTATGGCAATGGATCACGCAGCGAGTAGCCTGTGGTCAAAAGCTTTTCCGTCAAGCTCATGGACAAACCCTCCAGCAGTTGCTTTTGGCACAGAAGTGTGGTTTCGGGCAAAGGCCTACAAAGGGAAGAAGGAGAAGAAGTATGACCCCGACGGCGTTCGATGGAAAAAGGGGCTCTACCGTGGCCCATCAAGGGAAGTCAGCCGAGGCCATCTAAATCAACGTGAAGATGGAGGACTTGTGGTTGCGAAGGGAGTGAAGTTCAATTTGGTGGAACCGGAACGGGACCTGCAAGATCTTCTTCCACATGCTACTGTACAAGGAGAAGTTGAAGGTCTACTTGATTATGATCTGCCTCCTTCCAAAAGGCAACTACGGGAAGAAATTGAGTTTGTCTCCAGGAAAGCGATGTCCGAGAACAACTACACTACGGAGCAGGTTGTCGAGATCTACAACCTACTTGAGGAGCTTGGAGACGTTGATTTCCGAGCGTCAAAGAAGACTTCTATGACGACATGGTTCACCGGGGCATTCGTGCATGGTGGCAAGGCAGGCGTCCGTTCCAATTTGAAGGAGTACCCAATGACAACAAAGTTCCTCACGACCTTTGCGAAGAAGTTCAGTGGTGAAAAAACATTCAGCGCTTTGGGAATTACTCGGAACACAACCTTGGGAATCCATCGTGACTCCCACAATTCGAGGGAGACATCAAATATGGTGTTGCCGTTGACTGAGTTTGTGGGAGGGAACCTGTGGATTCAAGACGGTGATGCTGATCCTTCAGTCGCAATCGAGAAGGAACTTTCGAATGGGAAACAGGTGCTGGGACGTGTGCTGAACCTGGAAAAGAATAAGCTTGTGGAGTTCTCCCCCAGTCAATGGCATGAAGTTCAACCATGGGATGGAGATCGGGTTGTGATTTTGCTATATACCCCAAGGACTTCCAAGCTCCAGGACGAGCATTATGAAGAGCTCCAAAAGGCCGGGTTTGTGATCGACAAGGCCAGTGCAAGCACTAATGATCCCGCGGAAGATGAAGAGGATGGCGAGGCAATGATTAAGCGCTTTGAGGTTAATGAAGTCATTGAGATGATCCAGGCCTTTATTGAAGTTGATGAGTTGGACTTCCTTGACTTTAACTCGAGGACCCGTGAACGCGCTTTACCGCGAACGACCATCAAGAAAACCGAGGTACAGTGCACCCCCAACATTGAAGAGATTCTCCATGACTTGGAGGTGAGCGGCAAGCCTTTGGAAGTTACTCACACAATTAGTTTGGGTGACGTGAAGAAGAACATCTCCAAGTGGTATGATTCTGCAGTGAAGGAGTTCACGAACCTTAGGGATAAAAAGAAGGCCTTCAAAGTTACAAAGAGGTGGAATCTTCCAGAAGGGTGCAAAATTGTGCCTTGCAAAGGTGTGTTTACAGTCAAGCCAGATGCCTCACCCAACAAATACAAGAGGAAGACTAGATTTGTGGCTTGCGGAAACCATGTTCCTGAAGGAAGCATGATGCCAGAAGGTTTTGACCTGTTTGCTGCCGGGCTGGATTCCACTTCGTTGCGGACAATGTTTGCGTTCACAGCAGGTTCCAACTGGCTCACCGGTACGACAGACATAAGACAGGCCTTCGTCTTGGCTCCTTGGCTGGGGGCTTCGGTTGCATTGCAACCACCAAACATAGCCTTTGAGCTAGGCTTAGCAGAGCCTGGAGACATGTGGGAAGTTCTGATGTCAATATACGGCCTCAGGGAGGCCCCAGCTCTATGGTCTGGATTTCGAGATCAGGAGCTACGGGCGGCACAATGGGAGGCAATGATTGACGGGAACCTCAAGCGCCTCAGGCTTCAACAGCTGGCTTCAGACAACCAAGTTTGGAAAGTTGTTGATATGAACGATCCAGACAAGGCTCTTGGGTATGTGATGGTGTATATCGATGACCTCTTGATTACGGGACCCTCAGAGATCCTCCACTCCTTCTTTGCATGGGTTTCAGCAAGATGGGAATGCGACGAGCTAAACATCCTGAAGGAGGAGAATCCCATTCGGTTTTTGGGTTTGGAAATCCATAAGGTTCCAGGAGGAGTCGAAGTTGCGCAACATGGCTTCATCACCGAGCTACTCAGAGCATATAACCACAAAGGGTCGAGGTCGTGGTCTCAAGGTTCAAGAGATTTGATGGTGTTGACGCCGGAAGAAGAAGAGGCAATCCTCAATGCAGAGCCTGTGAACCTAGAGGGACGTGAAGCAGAAGTTAAGCAGGCACAGAAGCGAGTTGGAGAACTTCTCTGGCTTACTGGACGTTCGCGCCCGGATCTACAGTATATAACTTCGATTATGTCCTCAAGAATTACAAGGGCTCCAGAGATTGTGAATGAGTTGGGGAACCGTTTGCTCGACTACTTGTACGAGACACAGTACTACCGCTTGAAGTTCGTAAAGATCGATGATAGCGAGCAGAGGTTGGATATTTTCACTGATTCATCATTCGCTACCTCATCGGGAAGATCGCATGGATGTGCTGCGGTTTTCTGGGGAGATTCACCTATAGCCTGGCGATCATCGAGGCAGCAGCTCATCACTCTTAGCACGGCTGAGAGTGAAATGATTGAGGCTGTGGACGGAACAACGCTGGGGTTGGCTACAAAGTGTCTACTACAAGAGCTCCTGGGTAAGGAGTTGCCAATGTATCTCAGGATCGACAACCAAGCTGCTATTTCGCTCATAAGCGGAAGCTCTGCAAGCTGGAGAACCAGACACTTAAGACTACGATCAAACTGGGTCAGGGAGAGAGTGACAAGTCGGGAGCTTTTTCTTCAGCATGAACCAGGAGAAACCCAACGAGCGGACATTGGGACAAAGGCACTTCCCAAGGACAGATTGAAGAAGCTGGTTGATTTGTGGGGCTTGGCAGACAGACGTCCTCCTCGTGATTCTTCGATAAGAAGGGCTTCTACAGAAGGCGCCGGACAACAAGGATGGCTATCGAAGTTGCTTATGTTCTGTCAGGTTTGTGGAACGGTGGCAGCTTCGGAAAGCACCATTGAAACTGGGATTGCTTGGGATCTCTACTTGGTTGTTGTGGTGCTTGCAATCGCTGTCATTGGCTTGTGGGAAGGCTTTAAGTTTTGCTGGAAACGCAAAGAAGCTCAGCTCCGAGCGCTGAGAGCGAAAGCAAACAAGGCTTTTCCACAGAAGTTGACCAAGACAGAGCTCAAGGAGCTACAGAGGATATTAGCCCTCGATCCAGAAGATCTTACCAGAGATCAGCGAGTCAGACTCGTTGAATTGAGGACACGGTTTGAATCCACTATGCCATCCGGGACTTCACCAGTGCCTACGCTTCCTCCAGATGTGCTTGCGTCTTCATCCTCTACTGGTCGTAATAAACAACCAGCTACAAGGGACCAAGGAGTTCAAGCAACACCAGCGTTCCAGCGGGTTGAACCAGTTCCAGTACCTCCTGTTCGGGTTGAGATGTATGCTGGCCCATTCTACCAAGTGCCTGGAAGAGATACACTTCACCTGTATCAAGGATGTTGGGGCTTGCGCAACACCGGTCGAGCTCACACAGAACAGCTTTGTCGTTGCTGTACAGAAAATGCAGGACGCAGTCTATATAATCGGGGATAAGAAAGCCGGAATGCCATAACAAGTTTGTGGCAAAGTGTGACGCTGCCCTTGCGGTGGTGTCAAGGAGGAGTGCTGATATCTGGCATTCCCGTTGAACTGATGTCGCATGATATGTGTGACCACTTGAGTCATGTTCGGCTCTTGCACAAGACCGTAGGCAATCGCCAAATTGTTGCATTCTGTAAGACTGTCACAACGCATGTATAGGCAACTGGCGAAAGCTGAAGTCAGACGTGCTTGATCTAGCAAAAAGACGGTAGAGCGCTCTCGCTTCATGGTTGGCGCCTCAACGGCATAAGCCCTTTCATTGTTGCAGTGGCGTGAAGAACGAAATTCGAGATCAACAAGATTTATATACAAACAAACCCTTGATTGTTAACGGAACCCTTCTAGCAACCCCAGTTCCAAGTTTTTTTGAGACTCCCTGGTGTCGCGTTTTGTTCCTGGGAGCCTCGCCTCCTCGAGCCATGGCTCTGGCGAAGGCATCCGGCCCGGGAGGCCCTGAAGCTGCTCGGGTGCTTGGGACTATAGGGGCCTTAATAATTAGAATAGGGTTCTGGGGTCCATGATTATACTATACTTATGGTTATGGGTTTTTTTTCGGACCAGTTCTGGCTACTGTGAGGTGAAGGCTGAATTAGCCAGGAAGGCGGCAGTTTGGCAGTTCGGAATTAGGGGGTTTTCTGTTTCAAGGTATGCCGGGGGCTTTGAGGGCTCAATGAATCAAGGCGACCTCTGGTGCATGTTTTCAAGGGGGAGGGCAACCGCGCTTGCTTGTGAGGTGGATGTGACCTGTTGGTTGCTCTTGCTGTTGTCATCGTGACTCGTTGCTGCTGCTGCTGGTGCTACTGCTGATACCGTCGCTTGTGCTGGTACCGCTTGCTGCTGTGGTTATAGTTGGCCGTTGATGACCACTACCTGTCCCTCACGCAAAGACCACATACAGTGCAATTAATCTCGCTTCCTGCGAGACGAGGAAGTTTGCACACGCTGGTCTGCATATGTCTGCATCACTGCCATCCTGTATTGGATTTTTATTACTACCTGGCTAGTCGCATTCATACAGTCGCCCTTGCACAACCCGCATGTACCCGCTCGGCGGAAGAGGCATGTCCGTGGCATTCTGGATGCTCGATCCAGATATGTATCTGGGGCTTACATACCAGTCTAGCAGCAGATTCACTTCACATGGTCGCAGGACGATGCTTGCCAGCAGCGCGTGCAAGAGGACTGCAGGTCAGGATGTTGAAGCACTTCGAAGCAGAAGTGGCCGGAAGCTGAAACATGAAGGGGCATCTTCCAACGAGCCTTCCCATCTACATGACCCTGAGCAGAGCAGGTCTAAAGTAACTGGCGCCATGGATTTGCCAGTTTAGTTCACTAATGTATGGTCGGTGCAAACAGTAATGTCTGCCTGCTCTTTCGGCAGTCATGGTGCGTTCCCATGATGCACATGATCCCATCGAGATGCATTGTTGCGGCAGCTCGTTTTTCAAAAAAGCAGAGCCAATTCTCATCCTCTCTGTATTTAACGAAGCAATCATGGCGCTCTCCTTCGTGATCCTCTCGAGCTTGCTGAGTGTCCCTCGTGGCAACAAGTTCTACTCGGCTCCCAGTGATCTTGGCGGCTGCAGTCTTCCTGTCACTGCTGGCCTTTGCGGGATGCTGGCGGCCATGTGGGATTGTGACACGCCTTGGAATGCCCACTGCCCACACGTGGACCATCCAATGGGAGCCTCTTACAATGCGGCCACATTGAGGGACACCTGCCCTGCAGACTGCCAGCATGCCATCGTGGCAGAAGCTGGGCCCGAAGCTGAGCCGGCCGAGAATGTGTCAGAACTGTCTGCAACAGATCCTGCGATGGAGGAACAGGCGCGCCGAGTGGCAAAGATCCTGAATGGTGTGGTAGCGGCTATCCAGCAGCGTGCCGATGAGGCGGAGGCATCAGGCGATGCAGCGAAGGCCCACAACTTGCGAATGGTCGCAGATCAGGAAGCCTACATCCTGCTGCACGGCATGGGTTTAATGGACAAGGATATCCAAGAAGTTAAAGCTGCTGAGATGGCTGCTCGCCAGGCTGCTGAGGACATATGTGTGTGTGTGTGTGCGGCCAGCTATGGCAAGTTTCTGACTGATGTGAAGAGTTTTTTAGCGGGGAATCCGAATTTTCTGGAGGTTTTTGTTGTTTGTTGGTGTCGTTGTTATATATACCTTTAACCGTGCTTTCTGCTGCGCTTTAGCTAAGTTCTTAATGTTTGTTGTTTAGTTGATTTGCTTTGTTTGTTTTTGCCTATAGCTTTGGCTTTGCGCTGCTTTTTTGTTGACATTTGTTGCTTGTGCTTTTTTCTCTCTTCTTTTTCTGTTAGGAATCGCTGGTTGATGTTTGACATGTGTTCTCTTCACACGGGGTAGCTGGGTGAGTTGTAACCTTTATTTTTGCTTTTGCGTAACTTTTGCCGCTAGGTTGCAACTTCTCGTCCCGGTAGGGCGGGGGGGTTGGGTGAGGGGGGCATGTGGCTGGTGGGTGAAACATTGAATGTTACACATCCAGCTGCATGTCTGCTTCACGCGTCACTTGCATGTATCCAAGCTTGCTGCTCAAGTTTCTACAGTAGCAGAGTATCGGCTACAGCGGTGAGCCTGTAGCAAACAGACTCTTGTGTTGCTTGCAAAGACTGTACCTTTGCAAAGATCTACACGCCCAGGTTACATCTCAACGTGGTGGCGGAACTCCCGGAGAACGGGAGGCTTCACACTGGTGGAGGTACGCGTCGGTACGCTGCACTTCAGCGCAGGCAACCGGGTATTCTCGGTGTGCTTCACTCTATACTTCCCTGACCCAGCGCAGCAATGGCCCAATGAGCTCGCTGAGACTGAGAATGTCGTCACTGGGAGCAGAATGGCCCGAATGCTTGGACGGTCGGGTTACAATGACGAAAGCCGAGCGGTTTTTCCTTGCCAGAGGGAACAGACAAGTGCAATGGAAGGTTTCGCCCTTTGCGAAGGAGAATGCACCCGAGCTTGGCAAATGGAAAGTGCGAGAATGGCTGGTCGGACTTGAGCCGCTTCCAGTGCCACCAGCTGAGCGCCTCGTTCAATGCACTGTCCGCCCTGCACAAGACTGTCCAGTGGGCGACCCAAGACGTGTTCGACTCGGACCAGACTGCCGAGCGATTGCCTTCTGCTTCTTCCGCAGAACGCCAATTGTGACGCACTGAGACGCTGGATTGTGGAGGGATCTTGGAATCAGCGAGTGAACTTGGCGAACTACTTTATTCGCCAACTCACTGATCCTATTTCGACCCTCGGATGTGATGGCGAAAGCAATGTCGAATGGCGATGGCCCTTGAACGCGGCTTCGTTTGTTTCAATGGCTATTGTGCGAATGCTGTTCAAAGTGGAGGAGATGTGTGAGTGAGGAATGCGCCCCACGATAAATGGCTGCAACTTAGTTGGGTGGCGACTGACGGGCCACAGAATGGTGCCACTGGTGCAAGCCGACGGCTCCTCACTCACCCACGACTGCAGCACCTGGGATGAGCTATGATGAGCTCTATGAGAATGATGCTGATGATGGCGAAGCAGCAAGCGCCTGGGTTGCTCCGGTTCCAGAGCTCGAATGACCGCCTTGTCTAAGTGCATGCGATTGCCCAGGTCGCGAATGCCCTTGAGCCCGGTGCCGACATTGTCCTGCGCAACAATGACACCTTGAAGTGAGATCGTGCTTAGCCGGCGATTGAATCAAGGAGTGCGAAAGCAACGTCGCATGGTAAACTGAGGTTGTGATTGACATGTTGAAGGAGATCTTCAGTTTCGAATGGTTCTGAACCCGACAACCAGCACTTGCCTGTACAGTGCAACGGTGCCTCCGCTTTTTGAGCAATGACGCGAATGCCATCCGAGTCGAGCCAAAACGTCCCGACTGAAGCCAATGGCCCCTTCGCTGCTGTGATTGTTTGTTGTTCCGAATGTTTCTTGATCGCTTCGCGGATGTTGCCGTGTATGATGGTTAACTTTTTGAATGATCCCGGACTCAAGTCGGGATCAAGGGACGATGCTATATGGCATGAGCCCAAGAAAGCAGCCAATGAACATGATGCATCATGGAATGCTGTGATGCCGAATGACACTGGCTCAAGACCCGACTGATCGCTTGACATCACAAAGGAATGTCTGCTAGAGTGTGTGTTGCTGGCGAAAGTGATTGATCTCAGTTGCTCGAGTAAATGTAGATGGTATAATGGATTTTTGCATTCCCGCTCCTCCCTCTCCCTCTCCCTCTCGGTCTCCCCCTCCCTCTCCCTCCGTCTCCCTCCCTCTCCCTCCTCGCCTCCCTCCTTCCCTCCCCCTCCCTGCCTCCTTCCTTCCCTCCGCCCTTCCCTCTCCCACCTTTCCTCCGCCCTGCTCCAACCTCTCCTCCCGCTCCCTGCCCTCCTTCAGAAAGCACAAGCGAAAGAACAACACAAATTCAACAATAAAAAACAAAAAACGTCACCGGATAATGTTGAAGGCCTTGGGCTTCATGTCTGGAATAATGCCATCAGGAGGTTGTGGAGGCGGACTTCAACGCCGAGACTGATCACATGTTCAGTGGCGTGAAGATTGACGAGGCCATGCTCCAGCACTACCACGATTCAATCGAAACCTTGGGGGTGGAATGCGGAGATGAGGAAGAGGCGACTGAGCTGGCGGACTCTGAGTCCGACACGCTGCACAAGGCAGACAACCAGAGCCATCTCACCAAGTTCCAGGCAAACCAAGGCTTGGACACAGCTGGTTACATGGAAAACAAATGCAGCGAAAGCACTTTGAACTTGACCTTTTTCGTCGACAAGCTGGTGGTTGCTCATCATTTGCATGCGGGCAGCTCTTTCTTGATGGAAGCCTATTCTTCCAGATTGCACAAAATGTCGCATCATCTGGAATTCGCTGCCAAGGCTGCCTTGGCTTTACACGACGATGAAAACGGCTTGGCGCATCACTTCGTGGCACACCTACGTCACCAGGACAATGCTCGCCAGGCCGCGGCGGAGAAAGTTGCGCTGGAGAGCGACACGCTGCATTTGAAAACTTCGGTTCACAAGATGCTGCATGAGGCAGCCCGGTCGGATTTGACCGAAAAGCAGCGCGTTCGCCTAAGCAAACTTGACGAGAGTCACCACCAAGCTATACATGGGGAGGACAAGCAGTCCATGTGTTTGAACCATGCGGAGAGATTGCAGCGGATCCCAAACGATTCGCCCCTGAACAGTCCAGTGGTAAAAGACTACGTGGATTGCTTGTGTCACCACAACGAGCCATCCATTGTGTGCCAGGCCAAGCATGGAGCTGCTGTGAACCAGGTCGCCCGGCAGATTGCAGCCAAGTTGGCCGACGCCGCGCAAGAGCTCAAAGTCGACATGAAGCAGGCTGCTCAACAGATGCTGGCCCAGTCTTTGGAGACCCCCGAGACTGGCAATGTCTCCCATGTTGCTCTTGCCAGGGACGGGAAAATCGCATTCGGGCCCTGCAAGGCGCCGGTCGCATGCAAGATTTGTGTGGCTGGAGTTTGCGCCTCATCCCCCTTCCCGAATGCAAAGAAGGACCATTTCGTGCATGTGAGACAACTGTTTGGCAGGGGCGTCGTGAATAAGCCACCATGCCTCAGTGGAGATTGCGCAGCATGCATGGCGCTTTTTCCGCCGAAAGAGCCAATTAAGTTCAAGGCCGTGTTGGGCTTCAAAGTTGGCGGTGCGGGCAAATGCGACGACCCAGCTGAGTTCCTCACAAGCTTCCTTTTCCACTTGACCCTCCAAGTTTGCTTCGGGGGAGCGGTTGGGAAGGCCGCTGAATGGATGGGCGTAAATTGCCTTACTCTCCTCACAACCGAGTACTACCCTTTCATTGGCAAGATGGTGCCGGCTGCCCTCTCCGTCAACTTCGTCATTGCCCGTGCAAAGCTTTCTACGCATGTTCCTGTGCACGAGCTGAGCGGTGCTGTACTGGATCATTGCGCAAACCAGAAGTATGACAACGAGGAGTCATGCGCCAGGTTGCTCCCCCTTACCAAAAACTATGCCTATCCAAAATGGCAGCGGGACGCTTGGAAGTCGATGGCCTTTTTCAAAGGCTGCTACATGGAGCGCACGGAAACGGCCGAAGAGAAATGCTTGAAAAAGTTTGAGGCAGCTCGCGGCTCTGGGGGCCTGTCACTCAAGATTGACATCACCGTCTTCTGGTGGTGGGAGAATGTTTTCAAGGAGACTTGGAACTTCTGAAGGCTGACATCGTGATCGTGGTCATCCGTGCTGGTCCCTGTTGTAAGGCTTGCACACTAGACGAAAGAGGCATGCCCGTGCCGTACGAGATGCTGCAAGCAAATTTGCAACTGAGGCTTGCGTGCTACTCTAGCCGCATTTATCCGCAGATTCGTTTCATTCGGTCGGTCGCAGGACGATGATGGCTGGATGCATTGGCGCAAGGACCGCAACTTGTGTTCTCCGGTGTTGACTGCACAAGTTAAGCTGCCTTGACGTGCGTTAGATCAGGACAGTTCTGGTGTATGTGCGTTTCTGGTCCCCTCCCGATCCCCTCCCTGCTGTCCTTTTCTGCTCAGGCCCTCCGCGTCGCATCTTCCAGGCGGGTTGCGCTGGTTCGGATTTGATTTCAGGGCCGTTTAGGGGTGAGGGGTCGCAAGGGTTGCCAAGAGTCGGAGTAATATTATATCTGATCCCCTTGCCGAGCTCTTTAACACCCTAAACGCCTAAACCCCGACACCTCAAACCCTAAACACCGACACCCGAACAGCAAAATGTGCCCTGTAGAACCTCTGCTTGCAGTGGCCGGCGTCTTGCAAGGGTTCAGGCCTTAGGATTTGGGTTGAGGGTGAGGGCTTAGGGTGCCCGGGGTTGAGGGTTTAAGACTTGTCAGTGAGGGTTTCGAGTTTAGGGTTTTTGTTTCGGGTCGTTCAGGCTTGAGGGTTTAGGGTTTTTTGCTTAGGGTTGAGGGTTTAAGGCTTAGCGGATTATTGTCGAATGACATCCAATTGCCTTAAAAAAATAGAACCATATGATGTTGCGTCATCAGTGCTGCCTCCGACTGTTCTTTGCCAATGTGTGTGAATGTGTGTGTGTGTGTGCGCGCATGCCCAAACTCCCAGTCAAGCCACACCAGTTGAGCATGCTGATGTTTTCACGTTCACCGGCTGACGGATCCAGCACCATACCGAACAAGTCCGTCCGAAGGCCCATCGGAATCCCGTACCCTCCAAGTGCTAGGCGAGGCTCGACACATCGAATCCTGCGAGTTTGAAGCTGCAAGCCTCACGAGTCTGGAACAATCCCCAAACTGTGAGCCGTGGTCTTGCTGAGAAGCAGTTGTAGAGCACAAGAGCTTAGCCCAAACCCCTACCTGCCCCTGCCTGGTACAGAATGCGCATCTGACACCTTCAGACACCCTGTTTTTCGTACTGTGGTACGCGCCTTGGCGATTATCGAAGTTAATCCGGACGGAGGTTCGAATTTCCATGACATGGCGGGGCCCCGTTGCTGTGTCAGGCCGCCTCCCTTGCAACGCTGATCTACAGCGGGGCGGTCAAGGGGCCCGAGGCTCGGCTGTGAGCCTTTCAGAGGTCTAGCGAGCTTTGCAACGCTTTGCTCACCTAGCGGCACGACAGTTCTTGCAATCGGATGTGCTTTTAGGCTCCAAGGGTCGGCAAGCTCGGCGAAGCCAGCATGACAAAAAACCTTGCCGCGCTTGTGAACTTCGATGTGTCGGACAGATCGTCGACCGAGGTACTTGAGCCACGACCGCCGGAAGGTCGTGTTTGCAAAGGACCGTCGGAGGGTGCTACCTGCTACCGTCGCGTAGACCGTCAACAGCTGGCAGGATGCCCCGTTCCCGCCACCCTCGAAGTGGCGAGTGTGAGCAACTGCTCATGCGGCACCGAAAAAGGCGAACTTCTGGACATGTCTGCACGGCACCCTCAGATTTGGTTTTGGGAGTGGCAAGTGCGAGGCATCTGACAGTTCGAATCGATGCGTCGCATTAACGCAAGGCCACGTGGACGCATCCCTAAGCCCCTGATCTCAAACCCAGACCCGCGGACTGCACCCTAAAACCTAAACCCTACGCTGGAGAAAGCTTCAAAGCCCAGACTTAAACCCCAAACCAATAGCACCACAACCCCGGAACCCTGTCATAGGAGCCCTTGATAGTTCTAGTATCATAGACTTACAGCAACCCCCAACTCGAAGCTGTTCAGATCGCTCCCAATCGCGTGTGTTTTGTCGGAGCTTCGCCTCGGAAAGCCATGGCTTTGACAACCGCATGGCCCAGGCCCCCAAAGTGATGGGCACGCTGGGGATAGAGGAGTTGGGGATACCGCATTGGGGTGTACAGTGTACGGGAGTCTAAGAGTTGTTTCAAGATGGCTGGGGGCTCTGAGGGCTCAATAAATTCAGGCGACCCGAAGCCCTAAACAGTCGGAAAAAGGTGCTTAAACAAAAAAATCCCCGGAACCCCAACCTCGAGCGAAGGTGACCTCGAGCACATGTTTTCAACGGGGGGCCCCTGAGGGCGTGCAATGTGCGCTTGCCTGCGAGGTGGACGTGACCTGGCAGGCCGGGCCTCGCCTCGCGGCAGTGGTTGCCGTTTGGGACATTCCTCGAATTGCTTACCTTTGGTTAGTAGGGAATGGAGGAATGGGGTACAATTAACACTACTATTACTACCATTCTTCCATTCCCTACTAACCAAAGGTAAGATTGTGGAGCTGCTTTGCGACAGACCAGGCTTGCAAACGAATCACAGGTGGTCGTTGTTCACCTTTCGGTGGGATCCGGCACACCATTTCATCACTATTCAGGACTGCCGTAAAACCCAAACCCCGGAGCCACCCTCAAAGGAACGACAACCTGCTCCAATTAGCATGGCGGCTAGGTCGAGGATGGCGCCCGCCACAACTTCTCGCCGGCCTCCGTGCGCCACGCAAAGGGCCAGGGGTCTCAGAGGCATCACCGTGGCTCACGGGCTCCGAAGTTCGATTTCGTGGGCTTTCTCCGGCAATCACATGGATGCCCTGGGCCGCGCGCACTGCGCCTTCGAGGTCTCTTTGTTTCCTCCGCTCCATGCTCCGATCTGCCCGGCTGGGGCCCGGGGCCCAGCGGAAGGCTGAACCTTGCCTTAGATTCTAGATGCAGTCCTTTGTTGTCAGTCCAACACGGTGTGTGTGTGTGTGTGTGTGTGTGTGTGTGTGTGTGTGTGTGTGTGTGTGTCGTGTGCAGGCATGGAAGAGACAGACCTCGATGCGCGCATGATGGTGCGCCGTCTGAGTGCTATTCGGGACAGGAGCCGTGCCAGCCACTTCTGCGAGTGCTCCCTGAACCCGTAAATCCTCAAACCCTAGACCCTTCAACGACAATCCCTGGATCCTCCTTCCACCGGGCACTTCTGTGCTTGCAACCCTACGCCAGGCGACCTCGGGACGCTGCGAGTGAAAAATCCTCCTTAAAACCTCAAACCCTCTCCTTCCTTGCCCTGCACAGTCGCTGACCTCCTGGTTGGACTTGCTCTGCCAGCTCGGCGCCCGGCGAGACTCGAAGCTTTGCTGGAATGTATCATGTCTATGAATATATCGTCTTGCGTAAGAGGTGATATAGCGTAAAGTAGAATAAGTAGAAGATGCTTGGTTTATTGCGATTGTGGTCTCTGGGCCTGAATTTTCCCTTATTGGGCCTGAGGGGATCTTATTTACGAATATCTTTCAAGAGCGTTAAATGGCCAACCTAGTACATTGTGTAGTTATTATTTCATCATCCGAAAGCCGTATGAACTACTTTGGATGGAGTTGTAACGCGCACTTACACAAATCAAGAGTGGAGCTTGCAGAGCCTTGCCAATTAGCCCTCATCCATATCCATAGCAGCAAGGACAGCCTGTTTGCCGCGGGTTGTGCGGGTTTCTGGTGAGCTCCGATTGCTAGGTGGATTGAGTGCCCGATCGACTTACCACTCCCTAAACCCTAAACCCTCAAGCTGATGTTGCTGCTCGGCCAGTACTCGGGTAACTTCGGATTGAGAGAGGCAGGGGCCTTGCCACGGGAAGATTTACGTCATGTCACTGTGGGCTTGGGCAGTTAGGAGCGAAGTCAAAGCCGAAGCAGCTTGAAGTGCTAAAAGACTCGAAGCGCCGCCCAGGTGCAAGATCAAGCACGTGCTGTGCCTGATGGGGGATGAGGCATCCTCAGGGCATGCTGTCGTTAAATCTTGACAAGGTAACATGCCTGCTTTGGGTAGCTGAAGTCAGCCCGCACTCGTCAGCAGTGTTTCCTGAATTCCAATAGCCAATAGCTGAAGTAGCTAAGGTGTTGTGCCAGCACCTCTGCATATAACGTCATAGCATGATATCCGCTCCCTGTGCCTGGAAGCTTCTTTAACAGTCTGGCTCGAACCCGGGCCTCCTTCTGCCGGACATGGCTGACGAGAAGGTGCGCCAGCTTGTTGTGCTTCTCAAAGTAGATGTGATTGTCTCTCAGAGCGTGGCTGCGAGCTAGCGTGGACTCATCGACATACTCATGGCGAAGCCCCAACGATTCTTTGGAACATCTCGCTCAGACTGCAGGCCTAATCGCTCAGCCCTTCTGAAGCAAGGTTTAGGATTTAGGGTTTAGGGCGTTTAGGGTTTAGGACCACTATATCCCCGAGTTCGCAAAGATCACTATTTTTGGGCTTAGGTTCTGGGTCTAGGGTCAGCAACCAGACAGTTCTTCCACTCAAACGGGAGTTAGAAAATCAGAGACCCTGATATAGAGCCCTTGTTTCAGGGCTTCACAGACCCTCATTTACAAACCACAACAAAACCCGCGTGTTGTACACGTTTAGTCAAGCCTCCTAAAATCGCCTAAGAGAGTCGACAAGCCCTATACCCTAAACCCTAAACCATCAGCTCGAAAACCTGAATCCTAAACCGCCTCAAGCGAAACCCTCGAGCCCTCTCTTCCCCCGGTTAGACCTTCAACCCTAAAGCAAACCCCAAGAGACCCCGATCCGAAGGCCGCGCCGGCGAGCGCCCCCGCGGGCGATGCTGCCGCCGGGCTGCCCTCGGAAGCTGTCCCTTCCGTAGAGGTCGGGGCCTTAGGACCCTTGCAGGGTTTAGGGCGAAGAGTCGGAGAGTAGGGAGTTACTGAGTTGTTCGTAGGGTCAAAAGTGTGCATCTGCAACCTCACTGTCCAGCCACTCTAGTTCAGCATGCCGATGCTTTGCATTTCGCCTGCCGCCAGATCCAGTGGATGGACAGGGCAAGGAGGTCTTTAATGCAGGAAACACTCCGGCCCAGGCACTTCCCCATGGCGAACAAGTCTGTCCGGAGGCCGCCGTGGCTGCATCATGTCACATGTTGACTCATGTCAATGCGGACGTACGTAAACTATGCAGACGCCGACCTTCCACACAGTGCTATTCATTGGTGTCGTGGCCTTGAGACGCTGGCGTTTCCTTGAAGGTATCTGCGCGGCACGAAGCTTGCCTTCAGAAGTGGCAGGCAGCAGCTGCACATCGTCCCGCAACGTCCTGTGTCTCCCACGCAATGCTTATGCTAATCGCGCCACCGTGACCGCCACTGGAACCAGCATCACTGTGGTATTGGCCATCACCATCTTCATCAGGATCCTGCACCGTCATCCGCACCGTCATCCGGTCCTGAGGAATCGCGATTCCTCTCGATACATGGAGAATGATGAATCCCGTAGCCTCCAATGCTAGGCCCGACATATCGAATCCAACAAGTTTGAAGCTGCAAGCCTCACAAGTTAGGAACAATCCCTAAACTGTGAACCCTGATCTGACTTAGAAGCAGGTCCCTGATCTGACTTAGAAGCAGGTGGAAACCAAAAGAGCTTCAGACCCAAACCCTGCTCGCTGCAGAATCCGCAGCTGACTCCTTCAGGCACCCGTCTGCCCGTACTGTGGCAAGCGCCAGGGCTTCATCTTCGGTCTCACAGGCACGGCACAGGAGGTCTTGTACGGGCAGTTCTGCAAACCAGAGTCTCTCAAAGCGGGGTATGGGAACCCTCCTGCAGTAGGTCGGCATTTAGCTGTGGGGTACTCGCAAGTAATCGTCGTTGCTTTCACGAAAGAGAATAAGCCAGGGTCTACACATCTTCACGTGCCTGTCTGGCAGCAACCGAGCTGTGTGGCTGGTCACGCTTCCCCCAATGAATCCCTAATGACTGGAGACCTCCTAGCGGCTGGGCATGAAGTCAATCTCTGAGGAGCGTTCACCCCCCCAAAACTAAGAATCACCTCACCTTCAACCCTAGGCCCTAGACCCTACCTCAACACGCCTCGTGCGCAGCGAGTTCTGGAGTCCAGGACATCTGAGCGAACCCTAAGCCCTAAACCCTAAACGTGAAACCATAAACCCTAAACCTTCAGCCCTAAACCCTCAGCCTTGAACCCCGAAACCTGAAACCCTTAAGCCCAAACCCTAAACTCCTAAGCTCCTATAAGCTCCTCGACTCCTAGACATTCAGGCACAACCCAACTCTCCACGCCAGGATTTGGACTTCGACTTCGCGGCCACGCGGAGCGCTGCAAGAGCCGCTGTGCCGCTCCCCAGGAGCAGGCTCAGGGAGCTTAGGGTTTTGGGGTGTTTTAGGGTTTGAGGTTTAGCGGTTTAGGATGGGTTTATGGGTTGAGGGTTTAGGGTTGGGGGTTTTGCGATAGGGGGTCAGGGCTTCGGAGTTTTGGGTCGCTTGTTTAAGGTTTCGCGGTTTTGCGCCAGAAAACGATGTCGGGGTGTTGTGTCATCCAAAAACAAGGGTCTCGCTTCTTTGGTATATTCAATCCTGGGGATTCTGAAGTTCAGGGTTTAGGGCTTTTGGGGCTTAGGGTAGCAGGGTTTAGGGTAGTCCGGGCTGGAAGATCTGGGATTTGGTGATGCCGGGTATTTCGTGAGCTCCGCCAGCTTCTGGAAACGGTGCTTTCACCGCTTCACAACTGAAGTAGCTGCCAGTAGCTTTAAAGTCTAGGGTGTAGAATTCAGACGTTTGGAGTTTAGAGTTAGGGTTTAGCGTTTAGAATGTAGCGTTTAGGGTTTAAGGAGGCCACCTTCTCCTGCTACAGTTGCTGCTGCCGCAGCCAAACGACGGAAGCAATGAAGAATGACACACGAAAGCACAACAAGCATCCCAGCACGACTTCGCGCAAACCGGTGCAGTGAGACAAAGGGCAGTGACAAGATACAGCTGCAAGAACCAACAGCAGCACGAAGATTGACTGCAGACTGGACGGCGGGCAGAGAGATTAAATCCACACATGTATTATTACGAATTTGGACAGTATGTAGTGAGAATGAGGGCGTTGCGGCAAGTTGACAGATCGAGGATATGAAAGTAATGAGATTCGTCCAACAAGCCCTGCAGTCACTAGGACTGGTCAGAAGAGAGTTGCAAGAAGCAGAGAAGAGGAGTAGCAGCAGTGGCAGTAGTCTTGGTCGCAGTAGGTAGCGTTCTCGTTTTGACTTGTTTCTACTAGCAATTGCAGCAGCACCAGCGCCAGCATTGCAGAGTATCTCACACGTTCGTCGTGCAGGTCGCCCGGTCCGACCAGATCAGCTCCGAGCCCCCTTTGCAACCCGGTCGCAGCTGGTGCTTGATCGGAGACTGAACTGCTCGTAAACCGTAAGCCATAAGCCAAGGCCTAAACTGCAAGAGCCCTACGCCCGAAACCGACTCCAAAAAGAATGGTTTGGGGTGTGGGGTTTAGCCGCCACATTCTGTGACCCAAAGCTTGAAAGCTGAAGGAGTCAGTGGGGTGGGGGGTTTAGCAGGGGTTACTATAGGCATTAATATACGTCATCAGGGTTGCTAAAGTTTATGGGGGTTGCTATAGGGTTACTAAAGGGTCACTACAGTGTATCAGGATCGCTGTGTTCATAGTGGTTACGACAGGGTTTTTGCTACATGTTACCATAATGAAGGGTTACATACAGGCTATCAGGCTTACTGAAAGGTTACTATAGTTTCTTGGGCTACTATAGGGGTTTCTTTAGGGGTTACTATGGTTGCTCTGGGCAGAATGGTTCTACACTCTGCAAGTTTTCTGTTCGTGCCCCTACTCTCGTAGACCCGTACTGAAATACCCTAAACCCTAAACCCTTGGAGTTCAGTGGCGGCCATGAGGGGTCTTTCTACACTGCCTGAAGAATTTGACTATACTATTTTGGGCGCTCCTTATTATCATTACAGCATAATGTGGCCCCAAAACCCTATTCTAAATGATTAAGGCCCCTACATTAGACTCTCCGTTTGCTTTGAAGTCGAAAGGTCTCGGCCTTCACCCTCCGAGGCACCGGTACCGATCTCATGCTTAAATGGCCTTTGACGATTCGGCGAGGGGGCTTCCGGTTTGGCGAATCTGCATGAGAAGGATCCTACCGTACCCCTGATCTATATTGCGGATCCTTATTTCTTAAGCTCGCGCGTGGCTTGCGGGCAGGTCTGCATGTGAGGTTCAGTTGCGTCTTGTGTGCGTTGTTTGAGCAGGCAAGAAGGCACTGGACAGTCATACAAGTTAAAGCAGTTGGTTGAAGCAACACGGGCTTCAAGAAACCCCACCACCTGCAAGTTTCCAACATTCTGCCAGCACTGACGACTTGTAGACGGTCCTCAACTCCCCGCAGATCCAGTCCTTTTGGCCTTGAAGCGCCATGAGTGCACCGCTCAGTCGCATTCACTCGCTGCAGGCTTGCGTGGAGAAAGCTCTGAATACACCCACATTTCAGGCAGGGCAATGCTGTCTGCACGGTGACGTGGCTGTTGGCGATGATGCGGTCATGACAGGCGATGATGTCGGTGTTGATAGCATGGCTTCGAGAACATGATGTGGAAAGACCCGCAGTGCAGCTCGCGATCACATCACGGCAGAAGTGGGCATCGCCCAAACGTATCCAGCTTCTGTGAGTGATGAGTGATGGCAGGCTCCCCACGATCAAGAGGCGGCGCCGGAGGCCGCAGCTGCGACCGAGGCATGGCGAGCTGTGAATGCTTTGCCTGTGCGAGTGGTCCGAGCGCTTTTGCAGATCAGTTGTTGCCGGCATGTTTGCTCTGAAAGCCCGCATGCAGGCCGAAGCTATCGTCAGTGATCCTGTTGTGGAGGCGCCCCGAAAACCTAATTTGAGTTGTCCTTGAACCGGGGCTGTTGTGATCCTACGGCTTCCTTGGCAGTAACAAACAGAAAGCTTCCGCCGTACTGCTCTTTGCTACGACGGTTCATAATCAGAAATCCTGTCATGCTCGGCAATGCGCGGAATTAGGTAGCCGTTGGCCATCATCGCCATGAAGATTACAATGATTCAATGATCATGGTCTGTGCTACCTAGAAGGACGGTGATGACGACGATGCTGACGACGTGGTTGGGACAGCAGCGTGCAACAACCCGAAGAGCACTCCACTGTTCCGGCTGGCATTCTTGTGAAGTAAGAGGAAGTGGCAGTATCCAAGCTTGTGAAATCTACACGAGTGCTTGCAGGCTTCGAACGATCCACTGGAGGGGACCGCGTGCCAGATTGATGCACCTGCGGAGGTCAAGGAGGCCACGGCGGAGATCGAGCTGTTCTCCCCGATCAGTATTCGCGGGCATGCCTAGTTGCTCAGTCTCCAAGCTTGCATGCAGGTCGAAGCGGTCGCCACAGATCCTGTCGCCGAGGAGGCCAGAAACTGGGGTCCAATTAAGGAGGTCCCTTGCATGGAGCATTGGAGGTATATACTTCTGTTGTGACCATGATGCCAGAAATTGCGGGTCACTGTGGGAGGATGAGCGGAGGACTACGACGTTAACAACGACAAATATGGCGATGGCTGAAGAGGAAGACAGTTTTGAGAGCCAAGGCAATGATGATGATGATGATGATGATGATGATGATGATGACTTGTGACTACATTGTTGGTGATCGTGGTGATGCTGAATCTGTCAACATGGGCTGTCAGGAACAATCGCCCGTATGCTGCTGACCGTGACGATGATGGCAAGGATGAACTTTGATAGCCATGATCGTGAAGAGCAGGCTCACGGTGATGATGATAATGGTCATGATGATGTTAGCGATCGTGACTGACTGTGATCATAGTGCGGCTGTTGGTGGTGATGATGCTCACGGCCTCGCCTGTGGCCAGCTGTTGTGAGTGATGGCAGGCTTCCCCCGATCAAGAGGAGGCACCAGAGGCCACAGTCGAGACGAAGGCATGGTGAGCTGTGAAATACAGATTGCCTGTTCGATCGTTTTTGCCGCCATACTTGCAGGTCGAAGCTGTCGAGGAGGCCCGGAACCTGGATGTGTAAATCGAGCGTTGCTGGACTAAACGGGGCAGTCGGTACTGGAAGTCCTTGCGTGGAGCAGAAGCAGCTGATGCTGGATGCTACTATTGTGATCAGGGTGATGGCGGCGACGATAACGATGACTACGATGATGAAGGCTACGAATTACTCTCGCTGTGCTGCTGGTACAGGTGCTGCCGCTGCTGCCGCTGCTACTGTTGCAGCTTCTATTGCTGCTCGTGATAGACGAGTATGACGACGTCTGTGATGACGACAAGATGATCGCGATGAGGCCAGCTATGATGACGATTTTGATGTTACTGTCGATGTCTTGTATTTCAATTATGATGGTGTCGATGGTGATGACAGCGATGCTGATGAAGGCATTGGTAGTGATGGCTATGAAGAAGAAGAGTATTATAGCTGTGATGAACATGTTGTGCCGCAAGTGGTCAAGAATTATCGCTGCGGTGTTGCTGACGCTGCCGGCGATGATGGAGACGACGAGGATTGGAGCCACGACATGACGACATCGATAATAAGGATCGTGATTATGATCATGACCATGGTGTGGAAGTTGGTGATGATGCTGACGACAATGTGTCGCTGTTAAGATCATAGGTTCGAGAAGATAATGTACAAATACTTGCCGTCAGCATAGCTCACAATGACAGTACGTTAGCAGTGGGCATTGTCCAGACGTGGCCAGCTTTTGTGAGTGTCTGCAGTCTACAGGCTTCCCACGGTCAAGAGGAGTCACTGGAGGCCACAGCCCACACAGAGGCATGGCGAGCTGTAAATGACACGTGGCCTGTCCGGACGCTTCACCAGATCAGTTTTTTAGGCATGTTAGGTTTCCCAGAGAGCGCGCAGGTCGAAGCCGTCGTCAGTGATGCTGTCGCCGAGGCATCTGGGAACCCGAATGCATTGTTTTAGAGCTCCTGCGTGGTGGATCAGAAGCAGCTGATGGCGGTGCCACTGTTGTGACCACGGTGCCAGTGATTGAGGTCCCTGTGATAGCCACGACGACAACGGGGACGATGTTGACGATGATGATGATTATGATGATGAATCTGAGATGAAGATGAGTATGTTCATTTTAAATTGTGATGGCGGTGATGATGATGGCCATGTCACTGGAGACGGCGGTGTTGATGATGATGGTGCTTGCGGCGACGATGGTAGTGATGATACTGGTTATAATGTCAATGCTGCATCTGCTGCTTCTGTTGTTGCTGCTGCTGTACCTGTTGCTGTCGCTGCTGCTGCTGCTGCTGCTGCTGCTGCACTGTTGTTGCTGCTGTTGCTGTTGCTACTGCTGCTGCTGCTGCTGTTGTTGCGGTTGCTGTTGCCGTTTCAGCTCGTCATGTTTTGCTGTTGCTGTTGCTGCTGGTCATGATCATGGCCATGATGACGATGCTGGCGTTGCCCCTCATGAAAGGCGTGGTTGATCATGGTGGCAACAAGAACGGTGGTAGCTAGAAGCGTTGGACCCGGGTGCTGCTGACGACGACACGACGGCGACTACCAGGATTGTAGTCATAACATGATGGTTATAGCGATGGTGGTGGTGCTGCTGCTGGTGGTGTTCTTGATCATGCCGTGGCTGCCGGCGATGATGATCCTGACGGCGATGTAGGGCTTGATAGCATGGCTTCAAGAAAATGTCGTACGGTACAGCTCACGAACAAATCACCGTAACAGTGAGTGCAGGCTTCCCACGGTCAAGAGGAGACACTGGAGGCCACAGCCGAGACAGAGGCATGGCGAGCTGTTTGTGAACGACTAACGTTCTTACGATCAGTTTTTGGCCGCCGTGTTTGGTCCGAAAGCCCGGATGCAGGTCGAAGTCAGTGATGCTGTCGTGGAGGCGCCCCGGAACCGGGATGTTTGATTCGACGTTGCTGAACTACTGAACTAGAGAGGTCAGTACTGAAAGATGCAACTGATAACAGATGCAATTGGTGTGGTTGCAGTGCCAGTGTGGTCATGGTGATGGTGACGACGAGAATGATGATGATGATGATGATGGTGATCATGACGATGATGATCATGACGACCCTGATGACTGCGGCGGTGACGATGACGGTACAGTAATGATGGCGACGATAGTGATGATGATGATGCTGATGGTGATGTTGCTGGTGGTGTTGTTGTTGATGATGATGCTGATGACGAAAATAAAGTCAACAAAGGGTACTTAGGAACGTCAGCCCGGATGCTGTTGACGATCACGATGATCTAGTCATGACATTCGATTTCGGTCAGACCAAGCCTCTAAGTCCTAAGGCCCACAAACTAACGGTCAAACTCACGATGTAGCTATTGTAGAAGCTTGAATAATCATCATACTGGTTAAGGGCTATAAAATAACCAAAATAACTAGAAATGTTATCCCTTCCAGGTTCTGAGTCTACTTACATTATATTATCGTACACCCCAAGACCCGTCTCTAGTTAAGGCCCCTATATTGGGCCGTGGAGGCGGGTGCTGCCTAATCGCAGCTCGAAGCTCTTGACATGAACCGTTTGCAGGAAGTTGTAGCCCCACAGAGGCACTAGGCAGAGCCTTGCAAAGCCCATCCAGAGGATCAAAGCAGCCTTCGCCCTCCCATCCACAGAGGTCCACGCCATGACAATCACGCTCCTCGCGCTGATGTCAATAACGCCGGGTCTTTCCTTTGCCCAGCATGTTACGGGCTCAATCGGAAGGCCGTCATACATCGACAGCGCAGAAGGTTTGGCCGCTGCGGGGAATCACCTCTTCGCATTGAGTGGTAATGCGGACTCGGCAATTACGGCAATCGACGTCAGCGACCCGCACAACCCTGCCTTCGTAAGTGCCGTTCGGGACCGGACGGCGTTGCAACAGCCAAGGCATATGACCATCGTTGGTGATCGAGCCTACGTGGCCTCGGATGAGCGTTTCGCAGTTTGGGACATCTCGAACCCCAGCCACATAGTCCTCCTAGGCTACGTGAATGATGGGGACCTCGCAGACGAGGCGGGGGTTGTTGCAATTGACGGAGAGCATGCCTACGTCACTTTGGGTGGTGTCAAGGTCTACAACATAGCTGACCCAACCAACATCACTGTCACAGGCACCATTTCTCGAAGTGACATGGGCGGTGTGCTTGACTGGCCCACAGCCATTGTCATCAAGGGCAACTTTGCGTACACTTTGGCCCGAGATCACCTGACCGTGCTTGACATTGTCGATCCAGGTAATATCACGGTTGCATCGTCGCTTCGTGATGACACCTGTTTCAGCAATCATGGGTCCCAGATTAAGTTCTTCGGCCAGCACGACGAGTATGCTTTGGTCTCTGGCAAACAGTGTCTGGTGGCCGTCAACGTATCCGACCCGTTCAACATCACCAGGGCCAGCTTTATCTCTGACCCAACCAACACCTTCATCAACAATGCACACGACTCGGTGATTGTTGGAGACTTGGCATATTATCTTGCAGTACCCAGTCACGGTTCTTGGCTTGTGGTGGACATTTCGGACCCAGGAAACCTTCGATTATCAACTCCTTCTCCCTGGATGCGACCAGGGTGCCTCTCAGAATGACTGTTGAGCATGGACACATCGGCTTTGTTCTCACCTCGAGGCTCACCTTGCATGAAATCGTCGTCTTGAATATGTCGGACAGTGCCAACGTCACTGTTGTAAACACCATCGGGGACGCAACCGACCCATTCGAGCGACCCCAGCGCGTTGCGATTGCAGGTGGTTATGCCTTCACGACTACTCGCTCTTACTTCTGGGCGCTCGACCTCGCCAACCCTGATGCACCCACCATTGTAGGGCGTGTAGACCGCGTGCAGGGCTCATCTCCCAGCGAAGCCGTGGCTCTTGCTGTCGATGGCGACTATGTTTGGGAAGTCGATACTCGGAACAGGACACCTTGGATGCCAAACTTGATCCATTCGCTGCCTTTCCTTTCTCCAGAATTAATAATGAGTTTGCCCCTAAACCCTAAACTCTAAGCCGTCAGATCTTATCCTGCCTTGTTGGGCTTGTTTGGCTACGCACCCTGGATACTTCCCAACATGCTTCCGGAGCTGAGCCGTCTTTCCCGCGTCGAAATCTGTCGCATGATTTTTCAGGCCGCCCTCATGAGTGTTGGGATGTTTTGGGATGTCTTGGGTGGTTGGGGGGAATCCTCGGAGCTGCGATGACGGATGTATGTTTTTGCATACGATCCTGTTCATGTCTCATGTATCACCATTGACTTCAGTTCCTTTGTGCTTCGTAGGAGCCCGGGAGCGATTGCTGGTTCGGTGGATAGTGTGATCATGGGCATTTCTCGATTACTCGTTCCTTTGGTGTCGAAGTTTTGTTTCTTGCCCTTGTCATAGCCTTTTTGTTGGATGTGGTACTGGCTTTAGTATTCTATGGGTGTTTAATGCATGTTGTCCGGGGTTCTTGTTTTTCCAGTTTTTTGGAAGTCTTTAGTTTTTGTTTTCTCTGGCCGGGGTGGAAAAATAGTTTTCCTTTTTGCTAATGGTCAATCTAGAGGAACCCAGGACCTCCCTGCCCAAATCCCAGCCCTGCCTTCCTGAACCCCTCACCCCTGCTACTGTACTACTGAAACTTTTTCTTTAAGCCCTCAGGCTTTGTCGGTTGTGGAGGGGAGTGTAGCATGGAGGGAAATAGCTTCAAAATGAGTGGTTTTTCGTTTTGGTAGTGATCTTGGAGTGATCCGGGTTTACTTTCGAGATTTTGGCCATTTGGCCCGGATCATTCCAAGGACCGCCAAGACTAAACACCCTCCATTTTGAAGACCCCCCCGCAATTTGGCGCCCTTAAACCGCCCGTTAACAGCTCCAGACACCTCCAAACCCTCTTATTGTACAGTGTACTACTGTACTACTACTGTACTGCTTCTGTTCTTCTTCTGTACTACTGTATTACTACCGTACTACTGCTATACGACTGCTATACGACTACTGTACTACTACGGTACTACTACTGTACTACTGATGTACTACTACTACTGCTACTACTGCTGCTGCTGCTGCGACTACTACTACTACTACTACTACGGCTACTACTACTACTACTACTACTACTACTACTACTACTACTACTACTACTACTACTACTACTACTACTACTACTAAGCCGAACCCCTACACCCCTCTCAAGAGAGCTAGTCTCCCTGTACAGCCCCCACCTTCAACCCGGGCATCCGCGCATCCGCAGAGCACCCCAAGCCCCTCTCGGACCCCACAATCCCCTTCGAAGTTGCTCAAACCCACTCAGACCCCCAGCCGGGAGCCCCGGCACCACACTGTACATTTTGTTTTTTTTGCTGAGGGGGGGACAACGCTAAACCCAGCACCACATGATGTACTTTCTTTGAGAGATGTTCTTTGTTCCAGGCGATGTAACCGAAAGCTTCGATTTCCCATAGAACAAGTCCGCAGGATCATGGCCTTCAACATTTCCGACCCTACCAACCTTACCGTTGAGGGCTCCCTCACTGATCCCGAACTTCAGTTTGCTTGGGGAATCGCGGTTGCCAGCAACTATGCCTACGTGACTGCGCGCGGAGTCTCAGCTGGGGTGGTGGCTATCAGCCTTGAGGATCCCCGCAATCTCACGGTCACAAGTTCCCTTCGAACTTCCATGCCAGACTTGCGACTTTGGGAACCTGCAGGCATCGCCATCTCTCGGACTTATGCGTACGTGGCAGCCATGGGCAACAACGGCATAACTGTTGTCGACCTGTCAGACCCCTTCAACCTGACCTTTGCTGGCATCATCAAGGATGATGTCATCCTCGAGAATGCATGGGACGTGGCTGTTGCAGGGGATTTCGCGTATGTGACAGCCGAAGGTTTTGGCGGTCTGGTCGCCATCAACGTGAGTCACCCCGAAAACCTCACCATCGTCGGCAACATCACGGTGGAGGCCCCTCTACATGAGGTCTATGAGATTGCGATCTCGAACGACACCGCAGTTGTTACAGCAGACCAGAGCCTTGTCATGATCAATATCAGCGACCCTGGCAACCTTGCCATCCTAGGATCCGTTACCGACACCACCAGACTTGATGGATACTCGGGCAACAGTATTGCGACCTCTGGAGGCTATGCATACGTGACCGCAAATTTTGGGCTCACTTTTACCTCTGGTTCTGCTTGGCGACACGACGACTACGACACGACAGCTACGACGGTAACGACCGTGTCAACGTCAACGTCTCCAGCAACATCCTCCTCAGCGACGACAACGTCCACGTCTTTGCCGACATCGTTGTCCCTGACTTCAACGTCCACGTCTTCTACCGATGATGCTGCAAGTCAACTGCAAGCCAACAACTCTTATACCAAGCAGTTAGACTATAAGCTAATTTCTTTCGTCGTTGCAGTGCATCGGTTGATTGGGCAATTGTTTATCGTCATTCTTGCAGAGCTCGCAGGCAGAGCGCTGGCATTTTACTTTTTCCGGCTAGTCAAGCAGTGAGGCACATGTGACGCCGAGAGTCCTTGACCTGTCAACGCTTTTACTTTTAACTTTTCGGCCAAAATGCCACAAAGTGGACAAGTTCGGGCCAATTGCGCATGGTCTGATGACTAATGCATTCGTCGGTTCGCTGGCACCTGGTGAAGTTTGTGGTAATGTGTCCACTGCACCAGGATGCAAATGCCAAGTGAGAGCCCCACGTAGCCCTGAGCGCATGAAATCGGGGGTGTCCTTCAAGCAGCTGCATGCATTCACCGCAATCAGACAATCAGCTCTTCGATCCCATGATTGAAACCCTTGAAACCCTAAACCCTAAACCGTCTAAAACCCTAAGCCCTTATGAACGCAGGCCGGAGCTGGGAAGGTGAATGAGACTTTGGACGTCCTGGGTGGCGACGTCTTGGAGGCGGACCGCACAGGGCGAACTTCTAGAGGGTTTAGGGATCACCTGTAACGCTCTTGACCTACAGTTTAGCAGCCATTACCCCTTCATTAGTAGGTAGAACCCTTAAAACTGTAGGTAACTAGAGTCACAGGCAGGGTTTAGGGGTTGGTTCTGCTTTTGTGAGGATTTGTTATGTCGTAGTTGTCAATGGGATTTGTCATTATGCCGGCTAGACAGCGTGGGGCTGTTTTTCAAGCTATCTTTTAACTACAGCTAGCCGTCATCAGCATTATACAGACATCTGATTCGTGACGTGCGACGCATTTGGGATCTGTGGTTTCTGTTCGTCCTTAAAGACATAGATTTTGAGGACGGCGGTCCTTCCGAGTGCCTAAACCGCACCTGGCGTGTTCGATGAAGCTCCCATCCCACACCCTTCGTGTCTTAGGAGCTGAGTAGGTATCCTGTAGCCCCTTGGGGCTAATATAATCCTACCATACCTGATTTGAAAAGGTTAACCGTTTTGGCGTAACCTTTACCCTGTCGGGGCTTACATAATCCTACCACGGTTCAACAGGTTAGACTTTTTTGGGTTAGGATAAACCCTAAACTTTAAACCCTAAAGCCCGAACAAGGCCTAAACCCTAAACTCTAAACCCTAAACCCTAAAGCACCAAAAAAGGCTGCGACACTAAACCCTAAACCCTAAAGCCCCCAAAATGGCCTCAACTCTAAACCCTAAACTGCTGACACAGGTGAATTCCACAGCTGCAGGTGCCATGGCCGAGGCGAGCTGAACCCTGCAGTCTTCACGGGTGGATATAGGGGGTTATAGGCTTTAAGTTCTTGATATATATATATGTATATACATATATATATATATATATATATACACATACACATGTATGTATATATATATATATATACATGTGTATATTTACATACACATATACATATACATATACATATACATATACATATACATATACATATACATATACATATACATATACATATACATATACATATACATATACATATACATATACATATACATTAATTATACACTTTATATGTATACATATATATATATATGTATTCAAAGCTCTGTTTTATTACAGAGTTCGACAGTTGTGGTTAAACAAAAACTTGTGTTTTATGCAAGTTTGGGGTTGTTCCTGAGGTCGTCTGCGGGGGGGGTGGGGCCCTGTCACTGCGTCAGCTCAGTAGCTGGGGACCAGCGCCCTCCTCAACCCCCCCAAATAGGGGTTATATGGCATATGGTCCCATTTCGTCAAATGGGTATTTCGGGTCGAACAGAGGGTAGATGGAGGGTCTGGGTAGGTAACCTTTAGCTTGCCAGGGTGTTAATCTATACCAAAGTAGCATGGCTTCGAGAGCATGATGTAGAAAGACCTGCGATGCAGCTCGCGATCACATCCCGGCAGGAGTATTCAGCTTCTGTGAATGATGAGTGATGGCAGGCGGCTCCCCACGATCAAGAGGAGGCACAGGAGGCCGCAGCTGCGACTGAGGCATGGCGAGCTGTGCATGACACGTGGCCTGTCCGAGTTCTGGCGAACGCTTTTGCAGATCAGTTGTTGCCGGCATGTTTGGTCTGAAAGCCCGCATGCAGGCCGAAGCTGTCGTCAGTGATCCTGTTGTGGAGGCGCCCCGGAAACGGGAAGTATTTTGAGCCTTCTGGAACTGGGGCTGTAGTGACCCCACGGCTTCTCTGGCAGTCTGAAACAGAAGGCTTCCGCCATACTGCTGCTGTGTTTGCTACGACGGTTCATAATCACAAATCCTGTCATGTTCGGCAGGCGCGGAATTCGATTCAATAGCCATCATCCTTGTTTGTGGTGGCAGCCTCGTGAACGTATTGTCATCTAAGGGGTGCCCGACAAGCAATGGTTGGGTGACGGGGGGGTGGTCGTAGTCATGATTAGCAGGTGGGGGCGTGTAACCTGCATCGTGATGTGAAAAGCGCCTCGTCTTGGTGGCTTGGTGGTGATGGTGAGGACAGCACTGATGAAGGTGATGACGACGATGCTGACGACGTGGTGGGGACCGCATGCATGCACTACTTAGAAGAACACTCTTCCGGCTGGCATCCTCGTGAACTAGGAAGCTGGCAGCATGCAGGCTTCGAACGATCAACCGGAGGAGGCTGCGTGCCAGATGGATGCACCTGCGGAGGTCAAGGAGGCCACTGCGGAGATCGAGCTGTTCTCCCGATCAGTGTTCGCCGGCATGCCTAGTTGCTCAGTCTCGAAGCTTGCATGCAGGTCGAGGCGGTCGCCAGAGATCCTGTCGCCGAGGCCAAGGAGGAGGCCCGGATCCGTGAAGCGACCTTATTGGTTAATATATTAATATCATGTGTGTATATATATATATATATATCTATATATATATATATATATATATATATATATATATTTATACATATACATCATTAGATCGAGATACCCCTGGGAATGAACCCTCGGGACCTCTTTCCTTGTCTCCGTGTGCTGAGGCTGCAACAGAGCAGCCTGAGCCTACGGCACAGGGCGAGGCTGGAAAGACACGGAGTCGCGAGAAGTCAGCAGCAATGATGTAGATTATGATTATAGGTGGGGTTATAAGTAGGGTATCTATACTTATAACTCATATCATATTAGTGGACTTCTAACCCCAATTATAAGTATAGATTATGTAAATACTGTGTGCTGGAAAAGTTGCCTTCTGCTCAGGGCTCAGAGGCCCAGGCACGTGGCCGTGGGAATTAGGGTTTAGGGTTTAGGGTTTAGGGATTTAGGGTTTAGGGTTTAGGGTTTAGGGATTTAGAGCCGGTGTCTAGCCTTGGATGCACTCAGTGACAGAGGGTTGTGATTAGGAGGGCTGGTGTGTTAGTCGGCAGTGGCTGGTCGAGCCTGGTCTCTCTGTTTTTTGTCTCTTCACGCGGTCAGTGGCAATCAGTAGGGATCGCATGGGGGGGGGGAGGTGGAGGTTGAAGGCTTCCGATAGATTTCGCGGTAGTTTTTGGCGATTGGGGAGTGGTTGTGAACCTTGTGCCGAGCGATTGCAGGCTTCGCAGGATCAAGCAGAGGAGGCCTTGTCTCCGACTGTGGAGGCCGAGGAGGCTGCAGTCGAGACGGAGGCACGGTGAGCTGGGAGGGTTCTGGCGTGTCCTTTGCAGGTGTTCTAAACTCGATGAACAAGGAACAACAGCCAACCCCACACCCCCAACCACCCTAAAGCCAGGTCGCAGGGCTCTGTGCTTCGGCGGCTGTCAACATGGGCAATCAGTGGTACTGTAGCAGAAGCAGGATCTGGAGCGGGAAAGGTAGCGGTTGCGGTTGCGGTGGTGGCGGTGGCGGTGGTTGTGATGGTGGTGGTAGTAGTGGTAGTAGCAGCAGCAAGAGGAGGAGTAGTAGTAGGACGAGGAGGAGGAGAAGTATGCTAGCAATCTTGGTGAGCCACAGGTTGAGCACCCAAGTTTAACCCTGGACGCTTCAAACCCCACACTTCGGAGAATCCGAGTTCCGCAAAGAGCGATCCAAAGCAGAGAAGCCTCAATCAACTACTACGCCCTAAACCCGAAACCCGAAACCCTAAACCCTAAACCCTAAACCCGAAACCCTAAACCCTAAACCCGAAACCCGAAACCCGAAACCCGAAACCCCTATGCCCTGGCAGCCCTGATCCCTAGTCACTCAACCCTACAGGCCCCAATTCCCACGGCCCTTAAGCCCCGCAGCCAGGAGCCCGAGGCGCTGCCTGAGCCGAAGGCTTCCAAGAGCCAGGAGGCGCATGATGGTTATCATGATTAAGACTTGTTGATTCTGATCATCATTAAGTTTCTTCTTCTTCTTCTCATTATTACTGTTACTCTTGATTATTGCCGTTATTGATGATGGCCGGATGGCCCGATGGCCATGGGTTCTGCTTTCCATGTGCTTTTCTGGCGCTTGAAGGGAGGGGTTTTGTGAGGAGAGATTTCATGGGATACCCGAAGCCCTTAGAGGCCCAGGCAAGGAGTTTCGAGAGCTCCCTGTCTCGCCGCCATGTTCTCGTGGTGGCTCCCCGTGGTGTTGACAGCCTTAGCCTCAGCTGCACCCAGCTTCAAGGGGGCGCAGCCGGACTGGAAGCGTTGTGGCTTGCCGGGCACCCAGAGGAGAAATCTCAGGAAACGGATAGTGCATGGGACGGAGTCGGAGCCATGCATGTGGAGGTGGCAGGTGAGCATCGGCTCGCCGAGTGTGGGGCAGTTTTGTGGTGGCACCCTAATCGCTCCAGATTGGGTCCTCACTGCAGCACACTGCGTGTCGCAGATCAAGCACCCCTGTGGCGTGCGCAGCCTCAGAGTGGGCGCCGGCTCCTCTCAGAGGGACTCGGCTAAGGCCTCTTCGGACTCCAAAGGCCTCTTCGCTGAGCGGCGAGTCTCGGAAATCTTCGTGCATCCCCTGCACAACGACAACGTGCAGCATGACTATGACTTCGCGCTACTCAAGTTGGACAAGCCCATGCCGATGAACAAGTGCATTGGGGTTGCCTGTCTTCCAAGCACCTCCGAGAAGGTGGGAACACAGTGCCACATCACGGGCTGGGGTACTCTGGCCTCGCGAGGGGTGGTCCCTGAAGTCCTACAGGAAGCTTCGGTCACCCTCCTGAACAAGCATGACTGCGAAGTGAACTACACCAAGGAGCACCAGACGATTACGGGATCTATGCTCTGTGCTTCGGGTCACTCCGGGAATGGAATCACGGACACCTGCCAAGGGGACAGCGGTGGGCCAATGGTTTGCGAGGAGGGTGGCAAATATGTCGTGCGTGGGGTAACCTCCTGGGGCCAAGGTTGTGCAGTCTCTGGGTTCTCGTTGATGAATTTAATTTCTTGTTGCCATAAGAAGCTAGAAGTGTAGGATTGGTTGAACAACGTAATTTTGGTTTTTATGGCAACCCACTTAATTCAAGTCCCCTAATGCCTTGCCAGGCCGCAGTCAAGCCCATATGAACTCATGAAGCTCCTCTAGGGGCCTAAGTAAGTACCTATACTATTTTGGGGTTTCCTTATCATAATTTCAATATTATATACCCCCCAAAACCCTATTCTCCTTGTTAAGGCCGCCCCTCTACTATTCTGACGACGATTGTTAACGACAGCCAAGGTCTCAGGCTTCCCCGGCATCTATGCCCGTGTTCAGAGCGTCCTGGCCTGGGTCGAAGATGTCAGGGAGGGCAAGATGAAAAAGGCGACGGCGGAGGACAAGCAGGACACCGTGATGCGAGTTGTATGGCTAATTGTTTGGGGCCTGCACCTTTCTTGAGATGGCAGCTGCGTCTCTCCTCTCTCCTTCTCTGTCTCTCCGTCTCTGTCACCCTCTCTCTCTCTCTCTCTCTCTCTCCCTTCCTCACTCTCAAAATCACTCTCCTTCTCTCTCTTTCTTTCCGTGGCGGTCGTTCTGTCTGTCCATCTCCGTCGTCTTGAATGCACGCCTGTCTGCCACACTGGCTGCCAGCAGGAGGAAGAAGATGTCTCCGACATCGAGTTCAATGGTGCCATGTGGGCCGTCGTGAGAGGGAAGTGCACGATGGATGAGTACGATTGCATCATGAGTCCTGGATTCCCTGATCCGTATCCCTCGAAAGAGACGTGCTTCATTGCAGTGAACGTCACCGACGCCGTTCCCATTCGAGTGGAGAACTTCTCTACGGAGCCGTCTTTCGACTTCCTGTCCTTCGACTGCCAGGCTTTCTCCGGCGACATCGGGCCCGATGGGATTGTCCCAGATGCATCCATCCACTGGGCCGCAGACCACAGCATCGCAGGTACCGGATGGCGCCTCTGTCCGTCCTTCTGAGCCCCCCAAGCCCAGGCTCCGCTCCCGTCCATGGGCCTCCTCGGCCCAGAGCTTTCACTGCTTGGTTGAGAGGTGAAAGCCGTCCTCTAATTCAATGTGTAAAGCAACCAATCCCTTATGCCAAGAGAATTCAGAGACAATTCCGACAATTCGAAAGGCGATGCTGAGTTTCAGCAGAGAGCGGCCATACAGGCGGCTCCTTTTGACGCAGCATAGTAGGTGCATGCGCATGCACAGTTCTGGTATCGGCAAGCACGAATACCAGCCTGGGTTTTGGCAAACCTCTCTGCGCACAAGGCGCGTTAAAAAGAGGTCAGTTCCCCAGACAGGTCAGGAAAATCTGAAGCTTGTCATCCACAAGCCAGGCAGGTTCAGAGGGGCCAAACGGCCCCTCAGAAGCTGACATAGGAGCTGCAGACTGTCAGATGCTCAGCTGCTACCCATGAATTTTCTTGACAAGCCAAGTCCAAAAAGCGGACTATGTGGGTGTTCCATGAAGCAGGGGTCGCCGACCGGGGGGGGGGTGTCCTTACTATACTTCCCACAGCGAGTTTGCAGGCGCAAGAGGAGCCTCCCACTTTCCGGAACTACTACGGGTGCAGAGTGCTTTGATTATCGGCCTGGTCATGTATGCCGATGGATCCGAACGGAGAGGGGACGGACTTCGGCGGACGAGACGATACACTCAAGCGCCTGACACTGCAGAAGGATGTACTAGGTTCTGCCACCCTCCTCTTATCAAGCCTCGTCGGCCCTGGGCCCTAAACCCCCCAAAAAACGTTGAATCCACAATCCCTCCCTCCCTCCCTCTCCTACTCCCTGTCGCACACACGCACACCTTGAAAGCCTTAGCTACACCGTCGTCCCTGGCTCAGGAGGTCGCCAGCCCAAGCTCAAGGCATGGAGTCGGAGTTGACTCGGATGGTTTTTGAAACAATGTAATCAGACCCTAGTATATCATGGTAATAACAGTATAGTCTCTTGTAGTACCCAAACAGCATACGGAAGTTTGTCGAAGGGTGTTATGTAGTATCGCCATCATATCGGTTAGTGTCACCGTAGTTAGTTAGTTTCACCGTTTCACTAGTACTCTTGCTTTGTTTGTGTGAACTTCAGCACTGCCTTTACCCCGCCTTGGCCGGTGCTTGGGCTCGGTGGTGGGGCCCCAAATAACGCAACTCTTCACCATCGTTGCGTTATGATTCTGATGATTCCTGTTGCCGTCATGGTAGTCTGATTCTGATTATGCTGGCCGTGGGCGAGTGGGCCGGCCCGTGGCCCACACAGCATTTACGTGTCGCTGGGTTTCTCTCAGTCTCTTGCTCTTGGTGTGTGAAATTCACTGTCAGGCCTCCCAAGAGCTCTGCGAAGAAGAGGACTCGGCGCTGAGAGGCCGGTGCAGGGAAGGGACGTGCTTCGGGGCATGAAGCAGAGAGCTCACATCCCAAGTCTCCCAAGCCCCCTAAATCCTGGACCTTAATTACATGCAACCCTGAACTCCAAGCCCTCATCCCGGAGCCCCCCAACCGCAGCCGCTCTTGTGGCCCCGCGCAGGCTCCTCGGGCATGGGAATTCGCGACGGGCTGACACCCTGCGAGGGGCGTCGGGTCTTCGTCTGTTTTGCTGGATTTTCAGGTTTCGGGCCTGCGTTCCGAGTCGCTCAGGAGGCTGCAGCAGTGGGCCAGGTCTTAAGATGCTGAAAAGCAAAATTCGAACAGGATGCGGTCTGCAGCTCTGGGTTTGAACCAGTCAGCTGCGACTTTGGCGCCTGTCTTTGCCGAGAGGGGGTTCGCCTGCAGCTCCGCCCCCAACTGAAGGATCAGCGTACTTAATCATTACCTAGACTATTTTGGGAGGGTCCTATTATAGGTACTCAATGATTACCTATACTAGTTTTCCTGGGGGGGGTCCTTATCAAAGTTATAGTATACATTAGATGCAGAGCTCAATGTCACAGCAGCGAGCGGCTTTTGAAAGCGTATCCAGACAGTTGGGAAGCGGAGCTTTGGCATCGCCCTCCCCCTGCTTGACCCGGCCGCTTGGGCTGCGGGAGCAAAAGTGGCGTCCAGAAGCCGGTTTAGCATCTTCGAGGAGAGCCCACTACAAAGCAGGGACAACATGGGAACATGGCATTGGAGAGTCGGAGAACTCCTTTGAAAGCAGGAGATGAAGCGGAAGTTTGGACCGTTGGGAGACGGCGCCTGGACCTAAGTTTTGCCACACCACGCAACAGTGGGCCTCTGCAAGAAAGCCGCTGAGTTCTCGGGCTGCGATTCGTACACAACGGCAGCTGTAGACGGATCCAAAGAGTTCTGATCCGTAGTGAGCGCAAAGAGCCAAGTCCATGCTCAACCAGCACCCAGAGCACTTCACTGAGCCCTGAACCCACACTGAAACACCAACACCCGGACATGTCAGAGCTCATCTAACATCAAACCAGCAAGCAGTGAGGTATGGCAGGGTGGAGAACCAGCTCCGAGCTTGAAACCATGTCATGTGAGCAGAGCAAGAGAAGCGAAGCTGGGTGCGACGCCAAACGGGTGCTGCTCTTGCTTGCATGTGGAATGCTCTCGCCGGGGCCCTACTTCTCTTACCGGTCCAAGGTACAGATTTGGATAGAGATGGAGGGAGTGTAGCAGCCTGCAAGAAAGCAACGAAGCCGAGGTACCGCACATACAACTCCGAGGACGGTGTCTTCCAAGATTATCCAGCAGTTTGCTTGCTGCTTTCTCTTGCTTCTTAGGCTGGAGTAGTGCTGCGCTCAGGATCACAAGCGAAAGGCACTGATCGATAGCATCCCGGCCGCTTCCGAGTTCTTTGAGTTGGTTTAGGGTGACGGGTGTAACAAGTTCAGCCCTCCTTCCCTACTAGTAAGGCAAATGGTATCGCTGCCGAAAGGGGCATGAGCTCCGTACCCTTGGCACCGGACTCAGTGGGTTGCCAGTGTATTTCATGGAACCAGGGTGAGCATCATTTCAGACCCTTAGAGTCTATAGGCAGGGTAAGTGTTGTGATTTCGTGTCGTCTCGCTGAAATGTGAGCCGCCAATTCCTGCATCAGGCACCATCGTGCTTGAAGGTGTCGTCGTGATTGCTTCGAGCATGATCCCCAGGTCTGCCGTACTTGGGAGTTACCTGCAGCCTTTGTGGTCGAGTGCTGCCCTCCGGCCTCTTGGCATCGATAGGGCTCATGCTGGCTGCTGGCTCTGGATGTGCGTCGAGCGCCCATGCCTTTGTGTACCCAGGGTATGCGTAGGTCAGGCCAACGTATATATATATATATATATGCATACATGGCGACGATAACCATGACAAGCTATGATGAGAGCAGCATCGTATTCGTAGAAGTAGTCATCGACGTATTTCGTCGTGATGAGTTTGGTCGTCGTCGTACTCCTCGTGTTTGTCGTCGTCGTCTTCGTCGTCGTCGCACTCAGCAGGAGGAGGAACACTAGCAACACAAGTAATCGTAACTGAGGGGAATCACAGATGCAATTTCGACTCCAAATCAACGAGTGTCACAAACACGTAGTTTGGATGCAGCTGTTTCTCGCAGCCGCCTGAAGGGAGCTGCCTCCACAGCTGCTCAATTTGAGCCTTGACTGCCGAACGGTCAGGGTTTCTGTCGGTGTTCAGGGGTTCAGGGCCTGCTCAGGGTTTAGGCATCGGGATGCCAGCTGGTGCATTATTTTTCGAAGTACATGTCCCCACAGGCAACCCTGGCCCTAGGCTGAACCCAGCGGTCGGTCCTGAAGCCTAGAAGGCACCTCCACGACGCCACTACACCCTGAAACCCTAAGCTTCGCTATCATATCATATATTTACATGTTGAATAGTTAAAACTGAGGATCCAGCCGTGTCAGCCTACAATTTACCAATCTTGGTGCCAATTACTCGATTTCAAGCTTCCGAACCTCAAAATGAAGCGTTTGCCACGACGATTGCAGGGTCCATCCGCCTCACCTCTCAATGTCAGTGGCAAGTTTTCGATTGTGGTCCATTGCCACGAAAGGTCAGGATCTAGCCTCTGGACCTCCATAATATCGGGCCAGTCTTGGCCAGTTTTAAGGTTTGGGTTTAAGACTCTGCTAAGAGTTGCTTAACTTAATCTTCATGTTTTCTTAGATGTTGTGGGATTTGTTCAATGGATACTTTTTCCATCCTACAACCTTTAACCTTTACCCTAAACCCTCTAAGCCCTAAGCCAAAAAACCCTGAATGCTACCTCGCTGTGGAAGGCAAATGGGACGCCTGCACCGACTGCCTCCAGCGACCGGAGTCGGCACGCAGCTTTCAGAGTCCTTTGCCCAGAGTGAAGGGGGATAATACTGTAGATTACAATATGATCAACATAAACATACATGCTAGCAGGTTACTAGCAAGAGCAACATTCGAGAGTAAACTGCGCATGTTTACGTAGTGACGTGGTAATATCGTAAATAAAACCATACAATGCCGTGCTGGCCAGAAGAGTGTCAGTAAATCAACGACATGCTGATCTCAGGGAAGACACGTCTGACTGAGAGGCAGACTGACAGCGAGTTCAGTGTTCTGCGACCAAGCATCTCGAGACAACAGGTGACCCAGCCTAGTCTAAAGTTGGAAACCCAATAGCCTCAATCCTGAAGAGTAATGTATAGGGAATCCCAGCACTATTCGGCCTTAATCGGGTTTCCGACTTTCTGGGGTTTACTCTAGACACTGCCCGAAAGGGGTACTCTGCCGAGGCTTGCCGAACTGTCCAGTCTGTGGAGACGAGATGGAGTGTCCCGTTGGCAGTAGATCGGACTGAGTGTCGTGTACTGGCCGTCAAGGAGTCCGAACCTGCTTGGCAAAAGACAAAAGCCAGGAATGTAAGGGACGACGGCTTCTGCTGTGGCTTGTCAGGTGGAGCGACTACATGGGAGGCATATACGTCAGCGGCTGGGCCTGCGAGAACCAGTGCGGTTCCAGGACTGCCCAGGGGCCGCGAGGCTTCAGGAGGTTCTCTCTCTTCTCAAATCTGACTCGATCTGTTTTACTTCCAGGAGGGTAAATTGCGGCCTCTGGCGTTGGTTCTGCCAAAAATGCAAAACCGACATCTGCGACAAGTGTCACAGACGGAAGGCCACTTGGACCTCGACCTCTCATGCAGATCGCCAGAGTCAGCTCACAGTGTTCTTACCTAGTCGTTCCAGATACCCCGAAAGACCCTGCCCTGCAACAACAACTGTAGCCGGCAATCCACCGCAGGTGCAGCGCGACCGGGAGAACGGCATGCGAGAGAGCCCGAGGAGTTTAGAATTTGGCAGTGGCCTCAAAATGCCAGCAGCCAGTCCATATCTGCCCGAAATCAACACTTTAACCCAACGTGACAAATCCCTAAGCCCTGAGCCCCGAAGCCGCAGAGGCACGAAGTTCCTGGATCTCTGCAAGGACCACCAGTGGGAGCAGGCTCGGGCCGGGGGAGAGCTGCTGCGAAGGAGGTGTCGAAAGTCCGCTGTCCCATGCGCAGGTTACAGAGCTGCTCCAAAAGCGGCCGGGTCTTGTTAACTGCGCTTCTTGACAGCAGATCTTTGGCGGGGTGGGGTTTAGGGTGAAGTAGTGTTTTGACGGGTTCCCCCACAGTGGTCCCCCCACAGTGTGGGGCTGCGGCAGATGTAAGCGAACATCTTCAATGCTATCTGAGGCGGGGATTGGCAGGTCTTGAGTTCAGGAACAAGGCATTCGTCCGTCGCACTTTGTTGCCAATGTCTGCAGAGCTCATTAGGCTTGGATGAGATAGGGTCGGACTGCCGGAGCTGGCCGCTTGAACATCTGGAGTTTGAAAGCTGGTAAACGCGACTTCTGCGATCGTACACTGGCCGATGGTTGACCTGCTGTAGTGAACGCTTGCTTTCGGAAACACTTCGCTTTTGTGATGTTGGCAGATGTTGTCAGGGTACTCGTCATCTGCCACCTTCAGCAACCCACGACCCGAAGCGCCCCAAGCCCTATACTAGCCTAGGAGGTTGAGGGCCGTTGGTCGGCGCTGCACTACGCTTCAAGCCGCTGGGCTCTTCGGGCTCGCTAGGTTTCCGGGTTCCTGGGAAGAATACCCGAACGTCTGATGGTGCTATCAGTATGTTATTATCGTCATTCTGATTGCGACTCTTGTGGCGTTACCCTTCTTACATTGCTGTGCATTGGAGACTTTCGTTGGTGCATGGCCACTGCTTGTAGGCCAAAGATTTCCCTGCAGATGTTGTGAGGAGCCGGGAATCCTCAAATGGTGGAGCATCTGCTGAAGCTGAGCGCTGACGCAACCAGTTTTGCTGGAGACGGCAAGACGCCCCTGGAGGCTTCCGCAGTCCGGATTGGCGTGGTGCCACCAGTACCGTCATATTGTGGACAACATGGGTTCTTCTCTTC